TAACAGCTTTTACTCTCACCATTAAACTTAATTTAATAACAATTGAACTGAATAATAATCAATTTTTTTTTATTTTTACGATTAGAGTTGAAATTGGTTGTGGGGACTAATATTCGCGAAGAAAATTAAACTTTAAAAATGAAAAATAAGAAAAATAAATATATTTATAATATTTGTAGTATAAATTTGCTTAATGTCGCCACTTGTTTCATCTCATTAGAATCATAATTTGAAATCGTCAAAATTGAAATAATACCAATACTTCTGCTTGCAAAATGATGGGTGTGTTTGTGTGCAACTTGTGTGCAATAATTGCAGGAAAAAATCCCTTAAAACTTATTAATTATAATTATCATTCAATTAGGTATTGTATTTAACCTGAGATGCTTATGTCAATCGCTTTTAGAAGCATTTTCTCTACCAATATCAACAAGAGTACATACAGGTCAAAAGAAGATGCCCATTGAATTTAAATAATACCGGGAAACATGCGCATCTTATCGAGAACAAAATTATTGACAAATCGCAATCACCTTAATAAATTACTAGCTAGATATCAATCCCTTGGATCATTACTCTTACTCTAAACGAAATAATAAATTCTATCGCTTCACAATTAAATTTCTCGTATCGGTAATAGAACTCGCCTACCTGGAACGACAGTAGGATATGGAATTATGTTGCGTGATCCCGTAGAGTGTTACGGTTACGGCGACTGTAATGATCTTCTGACTAATGAATTTTAGAATCCTTCTATATTTTCAAGCAGAAGCCTAGCATAAATTCCTCACTCATTTCTTAACGTCTTGGATTGTAAACAGATGGGTCAGTCCTACTGTGATTATTTGAACTGACTGTACTTCCATTCAACGATTGTTGAACTGGAAAATAAAAGTTATTCCTTTATTAAAACGTGGTGATTTTTGTGTCATCATGTTTGTTCTTAAATAATTTTTAAATTACGATCTAAGCAATCATGTGAATTGAGTTTCTCTTTTCTCATATTACTAAAACAGTGAGTTAAACACAGTAAATATTACCCTATAAAATATACATATTCTGTCATAATACTAGAACAATTTCTCCCCGTGCGAGAGAACGTCGTGTCATCAGCTGTAGGCCGGCATAGCTCGAGTCCAATGCAAGTGCAAAGATAAAAAAGCAAAAGTGTGGGCATGTTCTTTGAATGTTCTTAAAATTAAACGCTAATTTAAAATATTTAATGTAGATGAATTTCCCTACACTTTTTGTTTTTTCTCTCATGACGGCTAACTGGTGCTCTTCAAGGAGAATTTATGGATATGTTATTATTTTTGCCTAAATAAAATTTTGAAAATGAATCTTGTACGTATCTCTATATATTTTCATAATATTCACATCAAAACACACTCGTATGGTCATTTTATCCCTCTTTCTTTTCTCTGACGCCAGAGTACATGATTTATAAAGTAAGGCGAATTTACTGTGTATATTTCTTTTAATAATAGATATATATGGAGTCTTTGCATATTGAACATAAGCGTAAGCCAGAGAGAAGCTACTAGCGATGGGTCAACATTTTACATTAGGCGAATAGTTCGGTTCAAATTAGAATTTGTTCAGAAAATTGTCGCAGTGCTTGGGGTCATATTTAATGTGTTTCCAACACTGTTTAAGAATTACGAGAGAATTCGAGCGGCTTTTACGACGCCTGCTTTGATACCTATTATAGTGCTGTTGATGCTGCGTACTTTACTTGTTATTTAAAATTGTTTCTATTAGATCCGGTCTTGGCCTAGGATCCGAAATATGTTGAATAAATTATTTAACGAGCATTATTCTATAATTTTGCCAACAGAAAAATGTGTAAGAACTACGCATTATAATGAACTCCTATCGTCGTTGTCAATAAATTAAGCAAAATAACAGACGCGTTCGTAATGCGCGTCAACAGAAACAACTCTCCGCATGCTCTCTCCTTTGCTGTGTTGACTGTTTACTGTGCGATTTAATGAATTTGAAGTGCTTACAAATTAGTTAAATAGAGTCAGTTGAGGCAAAGTTCATTTCTCCGCTGGTTGGCATTCCCAGAAACTTGTTTTCATTAGATTCGCGAGCACATTGCTGCCCACTGTAATGACTAAATAAAGTTGTACTGTCTTCAATAATACATTTAACTATTCATAAGCAAATGGTGAGCAGCTTGACGAAGCATTTGAAATTTTCCGAATCATGATAAAAAGTTGATGTTGAGTGGTTTGTCGCGAGTTAAAAATTTCCGAACATAATGCAGTAAACTAAGAGTTGAATTCCTGTGCCGGTAATGCGCTATACCAATAATATTAATTTTCCTAATTCTTCTAAAACGGCTGTCTTGAACCCTTATTGAGTTCCGGTGATTCAATATACCATTTTGCCTACAAATATGCCACCCAATCATATACCCCACATCATTAACAACCAGCAAGAAAAATACTTCATAACGGATGCAACTGGGTTTTTTATACATAATATGAGCTCTCTCTACACAGTACTTTATTACTGGTTAAGGTTTTGGATTCAAAACAAAGTTATTTGCCTTGGATCATAATAGACGAAATATTTTTTAGTTTTTTTCAACAATTAAAGTACGAGGTAAGTCTTTTTGCTAATTTATTATAAAAGTAATTCCAAAGTTGTTTCAAGACCGTTGGAAATTTTGAAAATGTAATAAATTTGAAGTTTTTTCTACCATCAGCAAACCATCTGTTCTCACTTGTTTCCAATCAACTTCTGCCTTCATAGTAGCTACAAAGCTACTGCACCTGCATATCATGCCGCAGTCGGGGCACACTACCCGTAGAGTGCGCAGTGTAAGCAAAACTTAATTTTTTCGAAACTGGAAATATACGAACATACTTCATAGTACATTTCATGCGTGATTATACAAGTTTGTAGCACAAAAACTTAGTTGTGCGTGCTAGATGATTGTATGTTGTCACTTTCGTTGCTGCTGCCTTCCTTTTTATCTCTCATCGCAAGTATTATCAACTGCATTAATAATATTCCATTTGCCAGCAATGATTTTGTTATCTTAAGCAGCACATTTTTCCCATCTATTGATTTTTCAATAAAAGGCTATTATCTTCTTAGAACTTTGCTCCTGTTTCCGTTTGGCATCGCAGTCCGTTAAGTATTCATGAGCTGAACCATTGGTATTAACTAGTCATAATATGTTTGCATCATTCACGCGAAAATTGTTATCAGTGTAACTTTCAAAACTGTGTTTTGTGAGGAAAATTGCGACTGAAGAACTTTTGGTGCTCGCCTCATAATAAATTGAGGTGACTTTAGAATCTCAGTTATATGAAGCGTTCGTAGTTTAAAAACGTTATGCAATTTGAAATTATCCTTCAACAGTTTTGATGTTTTTGTATAATAGCTTGAGAAAGGGGCTATTATTTAGTTAGTGTTAGATTTTTCTTTTTCGAAAATTAAAATAAGTCATAAGTATTGTATTAGAATGAATCGAAACGTAAAATGTACGTTCACGACTTCGGGGTGCTAAACGCTGATAAAAATGAGAGATACAAGTTTAGAAATGGTTTTATTTTTAATTAGTGAACAAGAGTAATTAAGCGTTTGTTTGCAATACGAGACAGAATTAATTCGTGACCGTCTTAAATTGGACCTCAGTTCTCGGCATTATATAATATTTCGACATCAAATATATTATTTAATTTATTCATTATTATAGAACCATTTCCAATTTCATCCATAAACTATCCAAGGCAAAACACATACACCCTAGAACTTTTTTTTTGTTTCTCACCGATTGCTGAAGAAGCTTCCCATAAACGGTAAGTGGTGGAGTTTTAAAATTAAATTTAAATGATTGTTCTATAATAAGTATTTTGAAGTCCTCATATAAACTTTTCTCAGCGCTGCGTCGGGAGCGCAGCCGTGCACCACCAATTTTGTGCACCAATAAGCCCTGAATCGAACGCCTTGGATCTCTCCGGACCTACACCAATCAGCCGTGCACCACTCAGCTTTGTCCTCTTCCGGCCTTGACCACCAGCTGCCGTGCACCACCAGGCCGCGGATCGAATATGACTTCCGGACATCGTTAAATTACGTAATTTTACGTTCACCGCATCTGAGGTTAGGTTTCAGATAGCATAGTTCTGTTCCAAAATTTATCGTCCTTCGACAAGTGGCCGTTCGACCAAGGGCTGGTTCGACCCACGGCCTAGATACGGACGGCTTGAAGTGTTGAAGGCTACGTTCCGGAAGGCAGGAATCATGATGGTCCATTATACATCCAGGGCAGTGGTGGTCTTCGGCAGGCGACCCGCTGCGTCACTCACTGCCCAAATTGTAAACTGGAGAGTAAATCAAATTCATTTAGATATTTTGGGTTGTTTCATCTGCGGTGTGCAACATGGAGTTGAGTGAAGTAATTTTTGCAGATGATGTTGCATGTTAGAAATTAATGCATCATAAATATTTTTCCAATAACTCATATTCATGTTTGATCTCCAGTTTAATTCGTGCGGGATACGTATCACTCAGCAAAATGAATTTTTTTTTGTCCAAATAGTGACACACTATCTTGTACGAGCAGAGAGCGTTTGTAACACTGAGTTCTTTTGTTTGAGCAAATTGAGCCAAGATGACCCACTCAAGTAAAAATGAGCATGCTTATCTGAAAAAAGTCTCACTTATTTTTTTGAGTGTCCATCTGATAAACATAAGTTATTGCAAAAAAACTATACTCCCAAGAGCCTTTAATTCCTCCAATCTTCATATTTCCCCACGCTCTGGCAACAGCTCCTTTACAATCGTCTGTAAGATGTCTCATGTGGCCCGCTTTCTTATAATCCTGACAAATGATTACATCACCATTCATATCTACGATGTCATCTTGAAATTGTCGTACACACATCTTTCAGCATCAAAATTCGATTTGAATCATTTACATTTGCGTTTCACTCCGTTTTCTCCAGTTTATCTGCACCAACGTAATTGAAAGCTGATCGATGGCTGATATAGGTGCCGCCAATTTCGGCGCGGTTGACTACTGCGTCTTCGTGGCGATGCTGGGCATCTCGCTCGGCATCGGCTTCAACCACTGCGTCCGCGGCAATAAAACCACCGAAGACTTCCTTCTTGCCAGCAAATCCATGTCGCCGGTGCCGATCGCTTTCTCCCTTACAGCTACCCTCGTTTCTTCTGTATCTATTTTGGGTGAGAAAAGTTTAATGGATTGTCAGTGTATACAATATACATACCGAGTGTGCGCTCGCAATGAGTATGACCAGAGTTCTGGATATGATAAAGAAGGCAAAATTAATTTTTTGACATGTATGCGATTCGAATCGATGTACATTAATGAATTTCGTTGGTTACTTAGTTTGAACTTTAATTTTTTCCCGTTCTACTCTTTTTTTGTTGTTGAAAATCTAAACGAGATTTCTTCTAACGTGCCAGCTAGGTAACTCAGTGATGACTTCATTGATAACCTGGTAGTTACCTATCGTACCTATCATGCTGACCTGACGGAATAGTCTGTTGAAAATCAAGCTGGAAATTTGTACGCTCAAATCAATCATTTAATTTTATTACTAATTAATAAAATTTCAATATTTGTGAGACAACGAAGGCTGTTTCCTGCATGCAGGTCTCCCCGGCGAAGTTTATTTGTCACGGTCTCCAATTGATGTGGTGCATCTTAGGCATGGTGTTCGGTATGTTGATAGCCATCCATGTCTTCATCCCTGTCATCTACCCTCTCCGGCTCGACAGCATAAACGAGGTATTATTTCTCTTCCAAAAAGGGTATTTTAAGTACAATTCCAGACTGGTACCGAAAGATTTCCAAAAACTACTGTGTGTGTGAATAATTACAAGAGAAGCAGCACAGACTCCGATATTAATAATGTTTTCTCTCTTGTTTTCATGATTCCGTCTGTAAGTCTGCTGCGAATGCTGAAATTATAGGAAATTTAGTAAGCGATTTTCTCACTTATTTGTATTGATTTGAAATAAAAGAAGAAAGGTCGTTACAATCAATTATTCCATTTCACACTGAATCCAAAGATTTTTTTTCAGTTAGTTCAGACATTTCAACACTTCTTGATCAAGAAAAGAATTTATTGAACTATTAAAAAAACATAGAGTATTATATTTTTGTCACGTGCTTAAATTGCGACGTCATCGAAAAATTCATACATAACTTATGTTTATATATTTCATTCAGAAATAGACTTGAACTTTTTATTTATCCTAGAACCAATTCAAATCTTTTTATTTTAATAATTTGATTACTTTTACATCTAGTATCTGGAACGCCGATTTAGATCCCACCTAGTCAAAAATTTGGTGATGTTTATGACCTCCGTGGCAATCCTCATAAACCTCGGCATCGGCCTCTACGCCCCTACCCTCGCCCTCGAGTCTGTCACGCCCATCACTTCTGTGACATACGTTCTGGTCCTTGGATTTATAGTCACCATTTATTCTTCTTTCGTGAGTGACATTTATAATATTATAACCTATTTTCGTGGTGGGTAGAATAATGAGATTAAAATTTGCGATGGAGCGTTTAAATAGCCGGGGCTGATTGCGTTATGTCTTGTGGGAAAGATTTGTTTAAAAAACTGATGGTCAAACGTTTGAAGGTGGATCTGGATTTTGCGTGTTTGTTGAAGGAGGATTGTGTTTATGGTGAAGATTTCGTATTAATGTAGTCTTTGTGTAGACACGAGGCTACACCATCGTGTATTCGTGACGAATCGTGTGTTTTGCTTTGAACTTGGGCAGATGCGATAAGGATATTTTGAAAGTGTGGGTATTGGTATTGTAGATAACCTGAGGCAAGATATTGCACGGGCGTGTATTATGGTGCGTTTTATTTTGGAAGAATGAAGGTATTCCCATTTGGAAACTGAGGCCGTAATAATTGATTCCTAATCTATAAAAGTCTTCGTCAAGGAATGTTAGGTCAGTGTCGTACTTTGTTTTCAATGATTTTGGATAAGATACGATAAACAAGAGAGGCTGGCGATGTTAGCTCCATGAGTTATTGCTGACATTTTATAGCTACATAGATTATGTCAGTTTTATTCGTGTTTTTTTGCGGTATGGACAATTGGTGGCTATATGGTGTGCGGTGATAGTTGTGGCAGATGAGACATTTTGAGGAGATGTTGGTGCATTAGGTGTAACTGTGTTCTATAAAAGCATTTTCGGAGCAAGAAGGAGGATTAAATATGCATTGATGTACGGGAAGTTCATCAATTTTGTAGAACTTGCAGCTGACGAGTAAGCTAGTGAATGAAAAGTTCTAGTTCGCATTATAACTGTGATTTTAGTGTTGAACATGTAAGAACAATTATGAGTATTCCTTAGGCTGTGTGATACCTGTGGTCTCTATACTTATAAAGTTTTTGGTTTTGAAGCCTCGTTTTTGTAGCCTGCGTTTTCTGGCTTCTGATTCTGAGTTTCATTTTATCGGTGATTTCCTTCCAACATTTTTGTCCAGCTTGTAGTTTTGGATTGTCCGAAATTAAAATTTCTTCTTTTTGCTTTATGAATGGGTGTCAAATTAATTGCTAAGTGTTTCGGTCACCGTTTTGTACGTTAGTTGTCCTTAAGCTTGCAGTGGTGCCATCCGGCGAGCCAGCGTAAAATCCAGTTGTAGTATCGAACAGTCGAATAAGTGGGGTACGTGTACACTGTTCGGTTCTTCAAGAGTCGTGCGAAAAATTATTAGTCAATCTTAATTTTTACAGCAAATAAATATACGGATCGGTTACGGGTTGATATGAGGTTGATATTAATGGTATGCAAAAACGTTTAAAATTTTGGTGCTCCCATCGAACTGGGACGAACACGGCGCGTTCGGGGCGAGGTCGCACTCTACTGGAAAGGCATGGTGAAGGTGGCATGGAAAAAATTAAATACCAATTCCCAACCCACGAGGTGACTATGATACTTAAATTTATAAAATCCAGTTTAATTTAAGGGGGACTTTTGGAGTTGTTCAAGGCTATGGAATTAAAAAAAAAATCGGAACACGGTTAAGCTTGGTTGATTGAAATAATTTTTGATGCATTTGCCAGGGTGGCATGAAGGCCGTGGTGTGGACGGACGTGTTCCAGACGATAGTGATCGTCCTCGGTGTAATCGTGATCGTAATCTCAACGACAGTCATCGCAGGAGGACCGGTCCAGGTCTGGAGAATTGGCTCCGAGTACCACAGGACAGACGCATTGGAGTGCGTTAAAACTGTCCAGTAAATAGAGAGTGAACCTAACTGATTGAAGTGAAGTGAAATTAACTTTGAGAGTTCACGAATTGCAATGTACATACGAAATTGACAGAAGCTGGTTCGAGTAACTAAGAGGTTGCATGAAAATCATTTATACATATATCAATGTTACTTATGAAAAATCTAAACCCACTACCGGGAAAAATGAGTTTAGCGTGAAATTTATTATCTTGCTGTCAATTAAACATTTTTAGCGTCGTACGATCAGAGAAATATTAATTCAGGAGATAAAACGTTACTCGATTATACCACCAGGAGAAGTACAGGGAGTGCAAAAACCTGCTACTGAAACAATTAACTTTCTCTACATTAGAAGAATGACAGTTCTAATTGTAATGATCTCTTTTTACAGCTGGAGATTCGGTCTATTCGTACGTCATACGGTCTTCAACACTGTGTTGAAAGACCTGATAATTGTCACTGCGCAGTACGCATTCCACCAAAGTACTGTTCAAAGGCTCGCCACTCTACGAAATTTGCAAATGGCTAGAATGTAAGTTACTAAGCAGTCTGAGATGCTCTGAGAACAAAATCTTCATATTGTCATTTATAATAACTTAACATAACATAGTGATGTCGGCGCTGAAGAGTAGGCCTGAAGTGGTCTGTGACTTGTTGATTCTCTTACTTTTCGTGCCTTGTTCACAGATCTAAAATCGTGTCATTTGACCGGATCTTTTCACGACTGACGAAAGTTTGTAATAGCTACTCGACTTCCACCGGGCTCGATATGGTGCTTGGCATTTCATTTCTGAACATATATTTTTCCATAGCTTTATCTAGTCTGTTCTTGAACGCGTTCAGACTGGGAGCTCCAACGATGTAGTGCAGGGAGGCTGTTCAACATGTCGGTGATTCGAAGCGAGAAGAAATTTTGTTGCGTGGAGAAGTTGCAGCTCAGTTTTTTAGTTTATAGCCGTGGCCCCTGGTGTTGGTTCTTGTTTCAAATTCTAGTAATCCTTCGGGGGCCTTGTATAAACCATGAGTATACTTGTATACTTCAATGAGGTTCCCACGATGACACCGATAACTGAAGCTTGGAAGCTTCATAATCTTTAATCTTGCTTCATAGGACTTGCCCTTCAAGCCTGGAATTATCCTTGTTGCACGTCTTTGAACATTCTCTAGTAAATTTCTGTCCTTTTCAAATCTTGGTGATCACACAACGTTTCCAAGCTCTCGTTTCGAGCTCACGACAGCAACAATCTACTGCTTCATCGCTTCTGCAACTAGAAACTCGTAAGAGCGTTTCACAACCTTCCAGGCACGTAGTTTGGAAGTTATGCAGAATGATTGCGTCCTTTTTCCGTAAACGATTAATCGGTTTCCTACAGGGTCCTGTACCTGAACATGATCGGTGTGGTGTTCATCCTCACTCTTCTCATCCTCGGCGGCTTGTGCATCTTTGCCGTGTACGCAGGATGCGATCCCATCACGCTGGGCTTGATCTCCAGGAAGGATCAGATCCTGCCTTATTTTGTCATAGACTATTTGGGCTTCCTTCATGGGATTCCAGGACTCTTTGTGGCTTGTCTAGTCTGTGGAACCCTGAGGTAAGTTGAATTTGAGTTGATGTATTTATTTTTATTCAACTCCATTTTATTCAACTCAATTTTATGAATATTCTCAAGACAAACTGTTGTTTAAGTTGTTATGAAATAATACTGAACGCAGAAAACTAACCCAAAATTTTCATTAAGTTCAGTGAATGTGTTTCTGACCTATTTTTTTATTTATAGTACAATTTCCTCGCTCTTGAATTCCCTCACAACGATGGTGTGGAAGGACATCATGTGTGAGATTACATTCTTCAAGACGGCTTCTGAGAATGTGCGCACCATCACCACAAAAGGGATGAGTAAGTCATAATTATCTTTATAACAAATTAATTATTATCTTCAATTACCTCCATCAGTTATCAATTATCTTTAATTATCTCATTATTCTATATCTTCAATTATCCCCATCACTGCTCCCATATCGCTTATCTTAATCAATCTTCCGCCGACCGCGCTGTTTGAATGTCGCACCCTAAATGAAAATAAATGTATGAAGACAAAATTTGTTATCTTAATTTATTAATTGGCACTTGATGCCAGACAGTGATAAAATGCTTCAAGTTTTCTGAACGTTTTAGAGCAGCATTTAAAAGATATTTAAACTTCATGAAGTATTGCATTTAATTCCTTCCTGACACACCATATTTATTTCATACCAAATAATTGCAGTGAATTTTGCCTTCCAGCATTTTTATTCGGTATGATTATGATAGCCTTGGCGCTATCAGCCTCACGAATAGACGGACTCATACAAGCCGCCACAACTGTAATGGGCATCCAAGGAGGTCCCAACTATTGGCATATTCTTCTTGGGCATCTGCTTGCCCTTCTGTAATAAAAAGGGGGCCTTGGCTGGCATCATCACTGCAATGGTAATTATAAATAAGAAACACCACACCAGTCTTTGTGCCTATATATTTTAGTTTTCATGTTTTCTTCATCTAGCACCTTTTGAATCCTATAACTGATAACTGATCATGGGAAGTCAAAACCTAAATCAACCTTTTCTTGGATAGCTTTGTCACTCTGCATCAGTTTGTTGACTTTCCTAGCTGCATTTATCTCGTGAATACTTTGTTTCTCTGTGTTTTGGTTACATTCTCTATAAAGAAACAAAATTGACCTTAACATTAACTTGCACAATAATATGAAGATTTTGATCATATACTAAACTTGCTGCATTTACCTTCAGGTTGTCATGGCGTGGCTGGGCGTGGGCATGCAGCTGTACGGTCCCAAGCCCAAGCTGCTGCCCCTGCACACCTCCCGCTGCTCCGTAGGCGACACCGCCGGCAACGTCACGCTGCTCCGTGCCGCGTCACTCGGCAGCACTGCAACTAGCTCTTCTTCTGACACGCTTTCCGACGAAAATCCAATGTGAGAAAATCAAGTTAGTTTTTCTTTTATTAGACGAATATATAATTTAGGTTCAATAATACATATAGTATAAATTATTCCATTTCCCCTTTTTAGAATTTTTCTTTTACTTTATGCGGCCTCGACGGGATGGTCAATGACGTATTTTTTTTTTATAGATACTTCTGAAATAACTTAAAAATGCCTTAACTTCACGCGGACAATGGTGAAATATATTGATCTACTTTTATAATCGCAGTGTAAGTGAAGTCTCACAATTTTTTAATATTCTAATCAGTCTTGTTTTTTCAAGATTCGAGCCGCCCTTGGGAGGCTTATACGAGATATCCTACACATTAATGCCCTTCATCTGAACTTCTGTGTGCATCGGCGTGGGCGCTCTGGTGTCGTGGGCGACGGGTGAGTCCAAGCCACCGAAAAATTTACGTGGCTTTCATAATTTATTGAAAAAATTATTAATTTCGTTCTGAAGTCCTGTGATGCTGCCCGTGCATACATAATGGGGGCACATAGTTTTGAGCACATATACATAATGGGGGCACATTTCATACATAAATGGGGGCACCAAGCTATACCTTCGATATAAGTCGCTTAATGATGTCCTCCTTTGTTCAATTTGCGATCAGATGAGTTGTACGCATTTTTCTGAATTCTGTTAAAAACTTCACCGTTTACAATGAATCCTCAATGAGTATGAGGTAGATAATTCGATAATCTAAAAAATTCATGTCGCTCTGTTTTTTCAGGCTGTGAGAAATTAGAAGATGTTCAGCCAGAGCTGATTCTACCGTGCTTAAGGAAATACCTAAAGATAAAGTTAAAATGTTCACCTCTGGAACTGAAAAGTTTCTCAGATGGTCAAAGTTCATCAACATCCGCGGGTGATAATCCGGAGGGAAAAAGTTCAGGAAAATGTGAATTCGACCCGAATCAACAGCTGTGAACCGTGTCGAATATTGAAATTAGGGACTTTTCCAATTTCAATAAAAATGTTGTAGTATGGTAAGTGCAAATACGATAATATTTTTTTTACCTCTTGGACAATCGAATTTTCGAAACGAATTTCCATAGCAAGTTTTCTACGCCTAACTTCGTCAAATCAAAACAGTTTTTTGATCCAACTAAAAACGATGCTATTTGTGCTCACATTTTGATTTAAGAAATTATTTATTCTGCAAGCTCGAACGCTTTTTGTATTTGCTCACTCATATGTTTCGAGTCTTGCAACTCGTAAATAGGACTTTCTTAGGAATTGACTGACATTTGTTCATTTGGTCATTTTTATACTGTTCAGGGTGAGAAGTAAAGTGAAAAGAAAGATTGAAACTTTACATCGTCTTCTTCTTAATTTTGTGGTAAAATTCATGTTTGTTTTCAAATCTGAGACGAACTGGCGAGTGACCTTGGCACGACGATTGAGATAATAAAAATGATTAAAGTAACGCTTGATTATTCCGGTTGCAAAATTAATATCATAATTAATCCAGCTCTTGAGAGTTCTAAACATTCATTAAAAAATACCATTTTGATGGTTTACGTGATCGCAGTGATAGAAATTGAAGTTGGTAACGCAGTGGATCGCGTTAGGCATAGGTGATAAAATAAATTGAACGCACATTAGAAATCAGAATCCAATTTAATCCGGTAAATGAAAGCAGTTAATCGACAGAGAAACGAATGATCAGCGCCTTAGCAAGACTAAATCAGCATATTTACTATCGAGCCTAAGGAAGCATATCACAATTGAATTGTTTAGACGACTTAATTTCATTATTCGAAAATGCTGATTAAAATTATTGGATTATATTGTTACGTCGCAACACTCAGCGGAATATTTTAGATTTCCAAACTCTGATTTGTTAACGTTTGCTCTCGAATTGATGAAGTTAGTATAACTCAATATGTCTACATTCAAACGAAAAAAGATTTAATAAGGCTAACTACAATATAAATTGCACTGGTGGTATGCTTGTGTTTTAATCTGTATCAATTCGAATAATTTTCTGCATGGCAGAACCACAAGTTTTGAAAACTGCGAAAAAGATCAAATTCATGTTTATTTGAATATTGCGTAGTGTGATAACGATAAATATTTATCTATTAAAAGATGGAATTAAGTCATGAAAAATGCATTACCTCCTTAATCTATCGACTTAGGAAACGACATTTTGAGACATCCACGCATACGTTACGATTGGTTTAAATTATTGGATGTTGTGCCGAAAACGGAGAGCGAACGTGCTCACATATCTAATTCTATTGCTGTGGAGGTGATGAGGTTGGATATATTATCCATTGCTATTGGCATATTATTTTATTTCTAAACTTGTCACGAACATAATTACAATATTTAAAGTATAACCTATAATTCCAAATTCACGTATGATTTAAATCTGCAATAATGCTTTGTATAGGTTTTAAACCCTGTTCCAGTTAAATTCATTCCTATCCAAAGCGTTTTCTGTATATTGCCAATCTGTGAATTCATATTTTTTCATAAACTGGATTTACGGTGGATCGAGAAAATATTTACTAACGGTTCAAATTGTGGGACACCCTTTTTCGGTAACTTTTGACCTTTTTTGTAGAATTTGAGGACATCTTGAACAGTTTTTCAGAGGAAATTTCAGGTAACTTAAAATGAAACAGCCAGTGAATCAGATAATTATTTTAATAATAATACAATAGATTCAGGAGGAAATAATTTTGGAAAAGATGAGATCGCCTTGAAATAAAGCCGATTCATTTTTAGCGCATTTTCTCATTTATGGAAAAAATGCACTATTGTGCTCGCCATGTCCGTCTGTCTGTCCGTCCGTCTGTCCGTGACCTCAAGTTTTCGTCGACGAGAAAATGCGCTCTCTGTCACTCACTGCAGTGAGTACTGAGTTATATTTTTTGAATAACGCTATATTGAGTAATTTGAAATGCCAATAAAACAATTGTAAAACATATACGATAAAATGTTTATTTTGCACTTATCTTATGTGTAGGGTGTACTTTAATTTGAAGAAACGTAATGGAATAGAGCCATGAAGGAGATATCTAATAAATTTAAACTGAAGGTTGTTCGTAATAATAACTTAAGCAAACCCCATAGCAACATCGCATTGTCTGAAAAATTTTTGCTCGTTTCTTGGAAAAAATCCGCACTGTTTGGTCTGGATTCTCTACGGTACTTATGAATGTCAGTCCAGATACAGACAAGTCATGTTTTTTGTAACATTTTTCGGTTCAAATTTTATGTCACTGCTTCAGGCGCCATCATGAAATGTGCTGAAGCAATACTATAATTCAAGGCGTCTGTTTGCTAGCAAAATAATAACGAAAAAATTAGTTAGTATAGAGTAACGTGGGTATTGAGTTTAAACCTGGCACATAAATTATCTCGTGTCTGCAATGCCAATTTAAATAAAATCTGTAGGAGTATAAAATGAGTGTGGGCCTCGATATTATTTTTAGCGCATTTTCTCATTTATGGAAAAAATGCACTATTGTGCTCGCCATGTCCGTCTGTCTGTCTATCTGTCTGTCCGTCCGTCTGTCCGTGACCTCAAGTTTTCGTCGACGAGAAAATGCGCTCTCTGTCACTCACTGCAGTGAGTATCGAGTTATATTTTTCTTATATATTTTCTGATACCACACTCTGAAAAATTTTTGTGCCATGTTGTCCAAATAGTGACACTTTTTGCACATAACACCGATGCAACCTTTTTCTGGACAAAACTGGGTCAAGATGACCCACACAAGGGCAAGAAGTTCAATCACTATTCGCACAAAGTCTCTTCATTTTTGTGAGTGCATCAAGTGTAAATATGTTGAATAAATTTTAAAATAAAATTTTATTTCATACCAACCAAAATACCTGAGCTATATAATATCATTGGGGTGATTGGGGTCATCGGGGTCATAGGGGTCATCGGTGTCATCGGGGTCATTGGGATCATCGGGGTCATTGGGGTCATTGGGGTTACTGGGATCATCGGGGTCATTGGGGTTATTGTGGTCATCGGGGTTATTGGGGTCAATAGGGTTAATAATATGTGCTTCAGAGGAAGGTGCGATAGAATGACCGTGCTAAAGCCAGTCATGGAGGTCAGACACTACGTGTAACATGGCAATATTCCGACATTTTAGCACAACTTTCGTATTCATAACTAAATTTTTTATTAATATGTAGAAAAAATCTGCTATTAGTTTGGTGCTGGTCATATATACCAGTAGTATGTTTTAAATTCGAATTCTTGATGTGTGGGATTTAAGAATATTTAAGACTAGATTCAACTAAAGAAGAGTCTTTGATTCAGCAAACCTAGCTTAGGTTAGTTTGGTTCAACTAAGTTTTTGTGAATATTTGCCCATTTTGATATGCCAGTGATTTGAACGATTTGCGTGAAATAATCGATACACATGTACTCCACAATTGATAGAACAGAATAATTAGAGAGCATAAACTATTTATTAGTTACGATAAGTAGAATTTGAATGAATAAAAGTGACGCTTTAATATATATTTTGTATATTTTGATTATGAAGAACTTCTATCAATTTTAGTCATACACCCAGAGAGGACCTTTTTTATTATATAGCAATTAAGATAGGCAGCGCTTTGGTCGTCTAATCTCTGAGGTTTGAGAATCTCGTTCCTGTTACTAAAACTAAAAAAAAACTAAAACTAAACTAACCCACTAATTTCATACTCGTTGACCATATTTAACTCACTGAATGAAATTTGAAGGAAATTGAACTTTTTATTTTCCGAAATATTAGTTATATATAACAAATTTGTTAATTACAACGTCACAATTAATTACAGCCACGGGTTTGCAATGCCGCTTTATTTCAGCCCTAAGAAAAATTTTCAGGACAAAGAAATAATTCATATTATCATTTCATTATCATTTCATTATCATTTCATTATCATTTCATTAAGACTTCTGCTGCTAAAATAGCATCATTATTTATGAACTCCTTCACTCGAAGTCTTCGAAAGACTCCCGAGAAAACGGCACAAGCCGTTAGTAGGTGACCACAGAAACACCATTGTTACGATTATACCTAACATATTGCACAAGAACACGGTCAAAAATATTCCGTTACTTCTCTTGTTTCATAAAAAGGTGTAAATTCAACAACACAATTCGCACATTCATAATATGTTCCGACGTTGCGTTACACCTGACATTATAAATCTTCATACATCACATACCATGACACACTTTTTTATTTCTTATTTTAACTTTATAAATTGCCTAGACGTAAATCCTAAACAGGTAAACCTCGGAGTCATAGAACTTGCATGCTCTCTCAGAGTGCAAGGAATTGCGTGCCGGCAGAGGGTTTATAGCGCTGAGATCGCCGTTTAGTGGGCGCTAATTAAGTATATTGTGCTGGCTAATAGACGGTGATAGGGCATCTGTATACATTCATTAAGACCCTGAGCAAAAAGGTTATTGAGCCAGTATAAAAAATAAACTTTGTTGAAACATTATGGAATATCATTACACCATTTCCGCCTTAACTTTCAAACATTTATAAAGTTGGTTTGGTTATTGTGCGAATAACCGTAAGAGATTATGCAAAATTTGTACTATGGTGATTTACACGTAGTGCATTTTTACTGTTAACTACGCAGTAAACACATATGGTAATAACATTGCAAATCTAAACAAGGAGAATGAAATTCATACTGTCTATATAGCATTTAAAAAGAAAATATTCTCTAAAATGCAAACAACAGAATGTAGTGATTCACTTCATATTACCCTTCGTTAAAAGTAAATGCTCCCACAGGTGTCCTAGAACCTGCAGGAATTACACGGTTATACGACACATATAATCGTAAAATCTCCATATGTGACCGGTAATACTTTAAATTGGTCGCTTAGAAACAAAAAATTAAGGTTCAACATAAAAAATTTTATATTCAATGAACTTTACTTACTTTAAAAGCAAAGGTTCCCTATAATATTCTGGGATAACTTCGACTGATATTTTATTATTCATCACAAAAATTATAAAGAAATACTTGAATGCGTCTAAATAAAATTTATCCGAAACTGTGAGGAACGTCATGAAAATATGAGATGTACGCTAAATTGCGAGCAGGTGAAATCTCTGTCCAATTCAGAGTGCTGCCTTCGAGGAATAAATTCCTCTAAAATTTTGTTACATGACGGTTGCCACCTCAATACATTGTTTAGTCTTGGATGCTGAAGATTCAGAACGTTTGTGACCAACGTGCTTGCGAAGACAAAGAAGCACATGTGATGGGTTCACATTCTCAAGCTTCTCGAAACCTGGAAGAAATGGAGAGGTGACCTGATTCGTAAATACTGTCAATACATTATCATTTTGTCTAATTAACTTATGTTCAATGTTAATTAAGGTTTAAACGATAGATACTCACTTATAACAGAAACTTAATAATATCCACAAAAGCTACGTGTATTGTTGCAAAACTGCATCCATTTTATCTGGCCATCGTTTAATTCAAGTCCGATGTACGAATTTCATCTAGAGATGAAATGAAACAGATCTTAACGGATGACGGAAAATTTTCTCTTTCGTTAGCATGACAACCTTTAATTGCGAGATAGGTTCGCCAATTATCTACACCAACTTTACCAATCACATTTTCCGAGTAATATAGGCAATTGTTTGCACACGTCATGCAACGTCATCAAAACATTCATACAAATTACCTGTACAGGCCGACACAAGGACGGCAACGACAATACAGCTGAGACAGCCCACTGTGGAGAAGTACGTGTATGAGATGCCGTAGAAGAAGTCAAAAGGGCGAGTAATGCTGTAAGAAAGTGATATCATAAATTAGCTATTACGAACTCAGCCATTATGCAGAAGAAAACATATGTTTGATGGCAAGGCTGATACGAATGTTGTACGCGATAGATAAATTTTAAAATTATTTCGTCGGAGTATTCTCGCAGAGATTATACAGGACCAAAATGTCAGACGAACTCAACGTCAACTAACTCCTCAGGTAAGTCGGTGGTTGTTGTGGTCCATAGCGTTTGCGTAGTTGAAATAAGAGAAGAGTTATCCGCGCATTCATCTATGGAGAGCGGTAACATAACTGTCACCATACCTCGGAACTGCGATCCAATGGACAGCCACACCATCACCACCTGCGGGTAAATAATGTATCAAAGTGAAAGTGTTTGTGCAAGGCATTTGACGATCAAATAAACTTATACTGCTTACTTCGGTGACAAAATGTACGATATAAAGAGTGACAAACTAATTAGCCCATCCCATGGTGAATTTTAATTACACAGAGACAAGCAGAAGTGAATGAATTCACATAAAAATATCAAATCATCTTGTTGGATCCATCGAAAGTGATAACTTACAGTGGAAAAGATGCCTCCAGCGATGGCGCCCTTCTTGCTGCAGTGGGGTACCATGACCCCCAGCACGAAGAGGCCCAGCACGGGCCCCGACAGCGCCCCGAACACCGCGGCCGTCGCCTGCACCAGCCCGCCCAGCTTGGAGGCCAGCACCGCGAATCCCATCATGATGCAACCCAGTACGAGAGCTGATGCAATGTCAATGTCAATTAAGAATCACTTATGAAATATTCGAGCTAAGCATATCTTTGCCTATACAGCCGCGCTTAGCAGAACAGAGCCGTGCAATTAAGCGTGATCTCGGCTATCTGTGTCTAGCGTAGAGGAATGCCATGTACTGATTTAAAGAACAGCTACAAAAACCAGGCAGGACTGCGGAAAGACACAGTAATAGCGCTATGAGATGATTTGCAGCATGCTTAGTCACGAACTCATTTCGTTCTCGCACTACGCGGAGTTACAGATAAGGAGACGGGTTAGAACCTCGGAAAAGTTCATGCGTATAATAATCTAATCTACTTGGTGTGACCCAATTCGATATTGTGCATCCATTGTTGTGACCAGTTACGATTTGTTAATAAAAAAGCTGAATTCTTTATGTAAATGAATGTTTTTTTGCCGTTTAAACTCCTTAAAACACATATTTTGCCGTTTAAACTCCTTAAAACACATAAACTATAACGTTGAAGTAGGTTGATCAAAGTGTTATAATTCAAACTGTTTGTCTTGAAGGACCTTAAGCGAGAAACGAAACTTCTGTTTCTTATATGAATGTATTTTATTTGTTTAGACCAGAAGTTCCATGTTAGTCTGATTTAAATATCTATAAACCACAATGACTAATAAACATTCACTGTTTGAGTGGAACATTGATGACTTTAGCGAGAGAAAGTACTTTTTTAATTCAAATCATCATCAACAAATGGTCAAATGCCGCTGCAGGCCGTGCACTGCCAAAGCAAACTCAACGCAAGTGTGGATCTTTTTTTTAGTTGTGAATGCTCAGTAAATGATGTGTGGCGACAGGGTATAGCTCGTTATAGCAAGTGTGCACTGGGTAGCTTAACAAGCGCTGTAGCAAGGCTGGTAATGCTAACTCTAAATGGGACATTTCCACTTGGTCATACTTCTCTCGCCACTTAACTTTTGATCTACGGCTGCAACGGATGGTTCAACTATCGGCTTCAAATTTTAACAATGGAAAGATTTACACTTGCCGTAGAACTGCAGTGCAATCTTGATGTGTTTAATAATTAGATTTCTTAAAATTATCGAAAACTAATAAGCTCCAGAAGCACCGATTCGTTTCAAATGTTGTTTGACTATCGAGTGCACACAGGCGCGGCTCATCATAGGTCCGTCATTTATGAACTTATACAACCTATGAAATTGATGCATTAATTATAATTCGTATATAGGCATAACAAGAAATATTTTACGAAGTATTTTATTGTTGAGTTCCAATTTGAAGATATAACAAATACATGCTTCAATCGTCTCGTTCGAATTTTACTTGAACTCACTTGTGACTTTGTTGGTGATGGTTTTGACTCTTTCTGATGACTTCTTGAAGTATTCCAGCTCACACATGAAGTCCACCCACAGCATCGACGACAGCGCACTCAGCAGTGACGAGATTGAACTGAAATACGCATTGATCTTGTTGAATTTGAATTTGGAACGAGAGGTAAACAAATAACTGAAAAATTTCTTCGAAATCAGGATGCTACTTCAACTTGTGTAAACTAATGGTCCAGAAAACAATATGATCGAAGCAACTTTGGAATTGAAATCTTCTGACCGTGAATGGCTGAGCAATACTTTGAGATGCTTGAGGTGACGGCCTACCTGAGAGTGCCGCTGAAGAGGCACGCCACAAAAAGCCCGGGGATACCCTTGAAAGTCCCAAGGTAGTCCATGACGTAGTAAGGCAGCAGTTGATCCTTCTGCGAAATGTAGCCCAGGGTGATGGGGTCACATCCCGCGTATACGGCAAAAATTGCCAGACCCGTGAAGAACAAAATGCCCATCAGCACTATCAGGCCGAATGCGTTCAGGAAAAGAACCCTAAATATGGGAACAAAAGTTAAGTTCGCAAAAAAAGGCAAATGCTACAGCACACATAGAAGAAAAATGTTGTGTTCTTCTATACTCGATACGAAGAATTCAGAAAAAATTGATAAAATTAAAGCATATGCCGTAATGTGACATATATAACTAATGGAAGTATCAGAAAACACTTATTATAAAAAACTCATATTTTCAATGAAAAAATATCCAAATAAAAACGAGACTTTTGGTATGACTGACAGCCTAACCCGCGCCAAGTCTGGCATGGACCCGGCCCTCTGGATGGTTGCTTGCGTGAACCCGTAGATCGTGAAGAACGTCACGAAGCCGTTGAGGATTGTGTTGAACATCGTGTGGCGTACGTACAACCCGGGTCTGAAGCTAGCGACCACAACATAACATAATTAACCAGTCGAGACGGCAGTATTTCAGTACAAGTTCTTAGGTGTTGGTCCTAATTGGAATCCTAATTATACCAATATAATTATGATCCTATCAATATAATTGCACAGCTCGATACAGTTTTATATACTCATAATCGATGGCTCGGCAAGGTTGAATTAAAAAAAATTCATTTGTTACAGTGTAAGAAGAGTTGGCTATCGCGGATGACTCTTACTCAAGCATGTCAGTTCGTCCGTTCTCTGATCCTATTCTCCAGACGTCGTCCATTCCACCGACTTCGATGACTGCGAAAATTACAGCGACTAAAATTCCCAGGATGATGACGACTGTTTGAAACGTGTCCGTCCACACGACGGCTTTTAGACCTCCCTGCAACGAAGGTGCAATTTAAACTACGCTCCATAATTACTTTGATGTTGAAAAAAAATCAATTAAAATGCGCAGTGTAAAATATATTATTATCACATAGACAACCCCTGACTTCAGGCAGAAAGAGACAGAAAGATTTCTTAGAATTTACCGCGTTTTAACAACGCATACTGTATCAAAATTTATTTCAGTTTATTAGAAAATGTTTTTGAGGAAATATAGCATACAAGTCATAAAATTTTTTCAATCCTCTTGCATCAAATTTGCGAGTAAATATTAGTTGAGCTCGAAGTGTTAATTAGCTTGCGAGGTGTTATTAACTTAAAAACTGTGAAGAATCATACACTATTTTGTGGTGAAGGCAGGGAATGAAAGTAAATAATAACATGACTTGAGCTTGTAGGAGAAACACTTCTTCAATATTACAACTCGAAATATTACAACGCGAACCTACAAACCCAACTCGAAAATCACTAAACGATATTTGGATCTCATTTTCGAAATCAGAAACTGCAGAAATAGAAATTTTCAATTTTTTTATAGAGAGATCTTTATAAAAAATTATGATAATTTAATGTAGTAACGGCTTACGAAAGCGCAGTAGACGGTGACTACTGTGCCCAAGATGAAGATGTAGGTGGTGAGGTCGATGGGGGTGACAGACTCCAGCGCGAGGGTGGGAGCGTAGAGACAGAAACCAAGGTACATGAGGTAGTTGCCAGTGATCATCACGAGCACGAGCTTTCGAAGGAACACCGAGCCAAAGCGCAGCTCTATGTACTGAAATTTGTAATTATTATTATTATTGAGATCATATAGATGTAGAGTGCAGGTGTTAATCACTTTAGGAAGGCCAAATTGGATTATACTTGTATTCTCTAGATTTTTTAAGTGATGATGGAGCTGGTCTCCAAAACGTTTTCGATGAAAATAAGATAAATTTACAAAAAGTTTAGAGTGGCCTGAGCCAGAAGCTGCCGAAGGTGTAAATTGTGAAAAACGGTATAACTCTTGGGTGTCTTATGATACAACTCGTTAACACTACCACAATTTATTGCTTGAATTTGATTTAACTTGTGATGTTATCAAGGTTTTTTTGCGTACACCGAGCTCAACTCGTTAACTCTACAGATGTTCATAGTGTGCATCAGATTCTTCTCGATAGCCGCTAGTGGGCACATCAAGCTCACCTCGATTTTCGGCACATCAAACTCACCTCGTTCGCATTTTTATTGAATAATAAACTTGTTAGTTTATCATTCCGACCTAGTCAGCACTTCTTATGTGCGTTATAGGTACGTTCCATCATCTTTGACGCTGTTGAGAGATTCTGTGTATATCGCTGCATCTAAGTCACCTCATTATCACCTTTGAGTTTCAGTGGTTCGTTGGACTCACCTGTTGAATTCGAATGGTTAGATAAGGTTGGCCTCGTTAATGCGGATGAGTTCCAGTGGCTACATCAGAATAAATTAATGCCTCTTACAATTTAAAGTAGCTATTCGTCAAACTCACCTCGTTGACGCTGTTGAGTTTTAAAGGGTACATGACAGGCATGATGAACAGCGTGGCAGTGACTATCCCCAGAGCGTTGCCGATGAGAGACCACGCCAGCATCAGGCCTTGTCCATAGACCTCGCCAACGATACCTGAAATCGAGCGAATTTCATTTTATTTTTCAGTTTATAGGCCAAGAATCGAACGGTGTGTAAAACAAAATCCTATAATGTGAAACACAAATGTTAAAAAATCTGATATCAGCATGCTTCCCATCACCGTCTTCAGGAATAAAATGAATGAAACAAAATAATAGCGAGCATTCAATAGAGTAACCTGCTGGTCTATTTAGTTACGCATCAGAAAAAATTAATCTTCAACGGAGTTCTCTCACAATATTGATAGAGAAGGGAAGTTGCGTCGGTAAGGAGTACGTGATATCGGTGACATAGCCCACCTCAGATTTTAATATTGGTAGGGTGCTTCTAAGTGCAATTAGTTGCAATGACATACATGATTTCTCACCTAATATTGCTATGAGTAAAAGCAGTTGGCTTCTAAGAACAATGCTACAGGTATTGGTGGCATCGACTTGCACAACCACTCACCTAATATTGAAATAGAAGAAAGGTAGGCGGCTGTAAAGGAAAACGCTATTGAAGTGAGTGTTATAGACTTACACAAATACTTACCTAATATTGATATGTAAGAGAGGTAAGTGGCTGTAACGAAAAGCGCTACTTGTCCAAGTTTTATAGACTTACAAAATTACTCACCTAATATTGATATGGAAGAGAGGTAGGTGGCTGTTAAGGAAAACGCTACTGGTATTGGTGACATCGATCGGCTTGCCATGAGAAAGTCCTCGGTTGTTTTATTGCCTTTGAGCGAATGGTACAGCCCGATGGCCATGGATATACAAAGCATTCCAATAAACACACAGTAATCCACGACGCTAAATTCAGCCACTTCGTTTGCAGTCGACATTTTTAATTGATAAATCTGACACTGTGTATGTTTGGAAAAATTAAGAAAATAGTTACACAACGCGGCATAAAATAAAAAGGAATAAATTAATATAGGCATTTAACAGGCATAAAATAAAATACGAACATCATTCGAGTGCGGCATAAAGTTATATCTAAACAACTAATTTTATGCGCAACTGCATGGCAGATATAAAAAGTATATTTCCTTTTATCTGTTTCAATTCGGATAAATGGCGTCTGTTGGCAGAAACAAGAAAAAACAAAAAGTTGACAGAAAAACAAAAATTCATCTCTCCATGGCCAGAACGTACAAACAAAATTTTAAATTGTATTGAGCACAAAAAAAATTATAATGAGAAATAATTGTGCGGATGTCATTGTATAAGTATCTGATTTTGAGCACTGCACTTGAGATACTTCCTCATTAGTTTCAAATGATCTTTTTAATACTCGTGCTCTTAGATGCGCGTAGCAACATGAGAGTGACTTCTGATCTGCTGCGTCAGCACGGCACTTATGCAGCGTGCATGGGAACATGCGACACAAAGACGTATGCATGTGACGGGATCGAGAAGTTAATGTCTCATCACACCCAAACTCACGGCTATAGATCATATGCACTTTACTCTCTATAGGTCTACGAGCAATTTCGTCCATGTTAGCAGCAAAATGATAGGGATGATAAGCTAGCTTTTCTCCTATTTATGACAACACGGTTCTCACGAAGACTCCCCATGTTCATCTGTTTCTTCTCACGAATAAATCATAGTACATAAGTACATACTAGAGTCACTTACACGTGGTCTGCAGGGACACGTGCAACAAATTAAACATAGATTCGTTTGCAAATCCGAAAATACGTGCAAAATTTTTGGAAACAATCATTAAAGCACAAATTTGAGATAATCGTACCGACTGGAATTAATTTAATGGAATTTTATGTTTTATTTAATTTTAACTCGAAATAAGAACTTGGTAGACCTGTACAACTAACTTGATTCATAAACACCTTTTCAGCAGCTTGTTCGTTGCCAATGACGAGCCAAACGGCAAGATGGCATATGTTCAACATCAACCGTTGATTGATAGCTTTACAATTTCAAAGAATTTCTAGGAAATTGGAGAAAATAAATACAGTATGTAACTTAAATAATGTTGACATAAATATTCAGCACATCACATAACATGCAGAATTGAGATTAATGTGATAGCGTCGGATTATATCTGTACGAATTCAAAGAAAAACCAAACTGATTAGATTTTACGAATTTTTTACAACTCTTTGATGCTCACTGACTGGCACGCAGACTAATTAATATCAGAGGGGACTACAGCGAACTAGAACACTCATTCACTTCTATGCCAGCAAAAACACAAACACACTCGTACGTACGACTACGTGCGACTACTATACAGTTAAGCGCTTTGCAACCCACAGCTAGAAAAAATTCGATTATGCTAAAACACATAAATTTTAAAATGATACAGACGATCGAAAATTTTAGTTCTATTGATCATTGATAATAACACGTAAATTAAAGTCTCATTCCATGACAAAAATCTCTTGGAAATAATTTAGCATTTTGTAATTTACAGCAAACAGTGACGTTATTTAAAGGAATATTTTAGATTTAACAATATTTTTCAATCAAAGCGTAGCTAGAGAAAGTAAAAATGCAAAATATATTATAAAAATAGAATTAATTTTTGTTAGATGACACTGACGGGTTAATTGACAACGATTGTTTGTTTATGAAATGAATACAAATGACAAAAAATCCAAATGCATGTTAATATTCCCAGGTATAATTTTTTATGAATTAACGTATTTTCGTTCAACATTCAAGCATGGGCTCCGCAAGCTCGGGCCTTATCATACTGCGCTAAAGCCATTTTTTGCTCACGCCAACTTCGGCGTGACATGACAGCTGAAGTGTCTACATGACCTCTGACGCAAAAGATGCAGCTTGAAGCACTTGAAGACGCACAAAAATGTCTACTAGTCTACTACTGCTGGTAGACGAGCTGCAGCTTGAGACGCACTGAAATGTCTATTAGTGCTGGTAGACAAGCTATACAGCTTGGAGACGCACTGAAATGTCTACTAGTCTACTACTGCTGGTAGACGAGCTGCTGCTTGAGACGCACTGAAATGTCTACTAGTCTACTACTGCTGGTAGACGAGCTGCTGCTTGAGACGCACTGAAATGTCTACTAGTCTACTACTGCTGGTAGACGAGCTGCTGCTTGAGACGCACTGAAATGTCTACTAGTCTACTACTGCTGGTAGACAAGCTGCAGCTACACCATTAGAGGCTGATGTACGCGCTGCGCTCCCATTAGCGTTAAACCATAAATACAACCTAACGTCTTGGCAAGCGCTCTACTAACGCCTCGCATGTGCTTCAGTTAAGGTCAATACATTGAAAACAACTCATTTCTCTATCACCGTCCACCCACGTAAACATTGCGGCAATTTTATCACCTGTTTCTCAAATGTGGACTAACGCAGAAACCCCGCAAACGTTGTTTATGTCGAGGTTATGGTTTGCACCGGTTATGTCGATGCACTGATTTTGGCAGAGTATATAGGGTACATGAACATTAAAGTAGTTTCAGGAAGAAAAACCGATACGGAAAGAAGCGAACTGAAGAAACTTGTGAATGTTCGTAAGCTTAGACTTCAAGTGGAAAAATGTCGGGCATCGAAGGAAGAAAAGCAACGGATATTTTAATCAATAAGAAATAGTCACAACCGCCAGAGAAATGATTGAAACCTCCAAAATTTTTAGTGCATAATGGAAACGCCGCAGCGAGTGCACAAAATCTTTAGCTTAATTAACATTTGTATAATTAATGCTACTTCAGGTATCGCTCCAACCATTTTGTCGAACTAAGAAAATAATCAGCCAAATTTGAACGAGCAGGCCTCGCAAAAACAAGCTCATCAAGACATTATAAAAGATGCATCTTCTCAGACGCTTACGCATACAACTCGAGAGGAAATCCGCTGTCTCGGCATCTCTGATCTACACGGGCCCCACGTACTGCATACCTCTGCGGTGTAGCAGCTAGGCAACACATTTAGCTGAGCATGATTAAAAATAACTGAAATTGCCAATAGCGTTGAATCATTTATGCATTTAAGATAAATCCTCATGTATGCATAAGAGCGTCGGTCGTCATTCCGAGGATCAGCAAGAAAAAGTTTTAGAAAATTATTCATTCACGTTGAATATTCAAGTATTGATCACTGGCTTCATTAAATGTCACTAGATTAATTTCATTACTCTTGACTTCTAAAAAAGACGCCTTTTATTCAAGGAACTAATTTTTGATGTGCAGTGCTGAAGGTGAAACTGTTGCCGTCAAGTCGAGAAACAGCATTTGTGAATCTTTTATAATTTCCGTACAGTAATGCACAAATTCTATCCCGAGTTCTGACACCATGTGTACAATGTATATGTCATTTCGAATAACATGCTTGATTCAGAACATTAATATGTGTCAAATAATTCCGGTTTCTGTAATTACCGAGCAAGGGACACAAGGAGGCAACAACTTTAGCACGGAACACATATAGTTTTCCAACGTCTGCCTGATACATAAGCTCCGAAAAATTTTTAACGAAAAAGCAGAATCATTATATTTAATAATTAGAACTGATAAATAATATTAATTCTCCTTTGGTAAACTCTAGTAATTAATTGGTTTTCCTAATTTTAGCGTTTTATGTTGAGAAACAATGATACTGAGGTTAAAAAATAATATGAATATTTTCTAATGAAATTCGTATCGTAAATAGACAAGAAATATCATTCCTAAAGAAACAGCGATTAATTGCAGTATATTCTGAACAAGCAAAAATTTGGAGTTTTGGAGCAGAGGAAGTGAATTTAAAGTATATTGCAAATGGGTATAAGAATTTACGTATGAGTTAATAGCGTCCTGCAAGTCATGAATTACAGACAACAACCTACAGTTATCAACAGGTCTTCGCTGCACCCTTTCGCAAGCTCCTCACTTCACTAATGAACAGATTAGTGAAGAGTTCTCAGATATCATGTCATCTAAGGAAAGGCGATCACTTTATTTATGGACTGGATCACTCCACTTATCTTCACCAGTGAACAGGTGATCACTCCATTTATGGAATGGGCCACTTCACCTATCGTTACCAGTTAACAGGTGATCACTCAATTTATGAAATGGGGCACTCCACCTATCTTTACCAGTTAACAGGTGATCACTCCATTTATGGAATGGATCACTCTACCTATCTCCACCAGTTAGCAGGTGATCACTCTATTTATGGAATGGGTCAATCCACCTATCGTTACCAGTGAACAGGTTATCACTTCACCCCATTATAGGGGATAAATTTTCCTATACCTTCACCGGTAAACGGACGATGTTTTCACCCATCGCTGTATCTATAAGCAAGGAACCATTTCAACTATAGACAGATGATCAGTCCACCTATCTTCTCTGTGAGCAGGCGAGAACTCAGACAATGCGGCAGAAACTTGTCGACTGAAAATCACTCTGAAAAAATGTGGTGTATTTATGCAAACGTTTTTCCCCTCATTATTTTTCGTTGCTTCACTGAGATAGAACACTAAATTTAGAGGTTATTTTAGAATTGTCATTAAGGTATAGCGTTGGATAAATCAGAACGCGTTCTGTTCCATCCAATTAATTACATATGAGCGTGCATTGACTTTAAGGATATATTGCCTTCTATTAAACTAAGAACAATTCGAGCTCCAGCAGAGAGCCAGAGAGCATCAATACTCCGCCGCGTGCGGTGCGCGACTGCAAGATTTCGCGCTCTGAACAAACGAGACGCGACGCCTCATTACGTAAGAAGGTGTGAGCAGGAGCTTACCTTATGTAATCTAAGACCATGTGAAATTTCCCATATCGGTCGACATCGAAATATTAATTGTGGCCTTGCCGATAATTGTGATACTAAGCAAATCCTATCGTAGATATTAGTATTGAAAAATTTCAACTGTTTCTGGAAAATTAATTTTGAAGTTTGTAAATCAAGTTATTAGTATCAAAACATTAACTATTTTTTGCTATTAATGGTAGGTGAATTATTTTAGAAAATTTGTATTCAAGTACATTTTTTCGAAAAAGCCAATAAACTTCGAGGTGCTTGAGTAGTTTACGATATGATGTCCAATTACACCGTAAATTTTATCCAGCGCAGTAAATTTTCCGAAGTCAGATTTTTCTAATAGTAACTCCAGACGTCAACAAATCAGCTGTGAGAAGCCCATCTCGACCAGCATGAGTCGCCAGTACACGTCGTTGTCACGTCTCGCAACAAGTGCAGTTGGCAGCCCTGGTTGTAGACAATAGACAAGTGCAGTTGGCAGCCCTGGTTGTAGACAATAGACAAGTGCAGTTGGCAGCCCTGGTTGTAGACAATAGACAAGTGCAGTTGGCAGCCCTGGGTGTAGACAATAGGGCATAACACTTGTTGGGAGACACACGTCTCCTCTTCCTCCTAACAACACGTGAGACGACAAGTGTTCAATAGCTTATTTTCCATCATCTGGCACTAAGTGAATGCTAGGTCATGAGCGGTCTGACAGGCTAACAAAGTGGCATCAAAGATTCTACAAAATAATACTTGTCTCAGTAAAGTGAATAATGCTTACAGTTTTCCTCGAATATATGATATCGTGATTAATTAACACAATCGCGACCTAAGACGCAAATTTAGTGGCTAACAAAGTATTATTATAAATTGACGATGCAATATAAACGTACAACTTCGTATTCGGTGTTCGAGAAATTAATTGTCGATTATGCAATACAAAATTATATTCGAGACCAAGAAATTTATGACAGGTCCGTTCATGAATTAAAGCTTTTCACTCATAAACTCCTTCAGTCTTGTCCCTCACATCAGCTTCAGCAAGCTTATCATTCAGTCACGGCTAGTAGAGTTGGTACACATGAAAGTCCATCGCACTATCCATGTGATCGAAAACGAAAACCGCAAGCTTGCGTTTATCAGCGCGTTCAAGCTCGCAATTGCTAACTTCATGGTTACGGCGAATTATAAACACAAATTTTTGACGCGATGCCAAATCCGGCCTAAACCTATAGGTACAATGTTCGCTGAATGCGTTATGTAATATGGTTCCTTTTTTTAACATTAAAAACAAGCTCGCAATATCGATCAGCAGATTAATCGGTTGAATTAATCTGCTTAACCATAGATAGCGCCGTTTCTCTAGAAGTGAAATTTTGATCAAACTGGGAAAGTCACAGGTGGTGCAGATTGGCGATGCTTGCGCATCACTCGCTGACACGCTTGATTCTGAACTGACACGAGTCAGCGTGTTCTACAGCACAGTTCTCTCTGCTGTACTCCACACCTGTTCAGTACATCCTCTTTAAGCTCGCGCCCTTAAAAAGAGCGCCTCTCTCTCTCTGGATCTCTTCAGGACTTCTCTATTGCTGAATATCTAATTTTAACGGACCTTTACTTACAAAACCACAATGTATTTTTTAGTCTGCACATATTTTATACTAAAAAATTGAAGGATAAGGATTCGATGATCTTTATGTATATATATAGCGTATATTTCAGGTAACAATGAGATTTATCACTTAGAAAACCCCCAGCGTTGAGGGGACAAAAGGAACTTGGAACTCAGAATGACCCCCAAGAGAATCTTGTATGAACACAAAGAGCGAATTACCTATATTTAGATTCAAAATTCATCTTCCGTACATGAAAACCTAACGTAAAAACATCTCGAGTTTTAAGCGGATCAGCTTCATTACCAGCATTAATAAATTCCTAAAAAGGCATTCTTATTCCATTATTAACCGATTGAAAATGAGCAAGAATTAGTGTTGATCTAAACAACAACTTTCATGAAAGCCTAAAAATATAACATCAAGAAAGGACAAGTAAAACCTACTTTTTACTTGCAATGCGATCAAGAAAGATATCTCTAAAAAGGTAAATCAATGTAAAACATTTTAGATTTTATGTACACAATAGAATGAAAAGCAGGTGTTGGTTAATAACCTTTTCCAATCCTCCAAACGAGCAAACACATAATACCATTTTGGGCCACAGAAGCTGAAATTCAAAACTTCTTAACGAGAAATTTCATAGTATTTGTATCTAACACATGCATAGGTTGTAAATACTTACAACGATATTTGTAAACCAAGAGACTGATGCTCGAAAATGGTAGCAACACCACAACTCGTTGGTCAATGCCATCGTGTTTATCAGTTTTATTCAGCAAGTAAATTGCAGATCTTCGCATGACCTTCATCACGAAGACTGAGAATGTTCCCGCTTGCAGGCCTTGTTCGGTACACGATTGTGGCTAAGAAAGAAAGCATGCATTAAAAAATTACTGGTTAATGTTGAATTCACGGTTGTTAGGTTAAAATTGTCATCAAATATGAAGACTGCACACATTCTAAATTATCCAGTAGGTAGCAGTTGGCCGGCTAACACTAGGTCCACGTCTTTGTATTATCTCAACATGATTCGTTTCACGATACATACCTCAACAAGATCAGTACGACACAGCGATATAACGCATCTGAACTTATACCCTTACATGTTAGATTCATTGGTAAAAAATCCCGTAGTTTTACCATGTTTACCAATCCCATTGGTAAACAATCTCACTCTATTTTAATATTCATCTGTATCTTTAGATATAAAACTTATAACATAAGCCAAACCTGGCTTATTCAACCTCACAATCATTATAAATCGTGTAAAATTTCAGGTAAATATAATAATATAAATAATTACATTCATGCAGAAAATTATTTCAAACCATTCCAAGAGGCTATATGAGGCCTACGATTAGACATAAGCACCTTGAATGACTCAACAATTATCACCACTGAATTACCATCTTCTCAGTTGTTTTCATCCGTTAAATCTTAATTATACATCAAACGGCAGTATAAGATCCAGTTGAATATTCAAAATCCATGAAATATTCTTGCATATCACTATGTAATAGGTGATCAAGTTTCATGGGTAATTTAGTGTTTAGCGTAAATTATAACTAGTTTAAAACTCAATACACACCTTGAGATCTCATCTCTCAGAATACATATCAATGATCTACAATAACGACAAGCAGGTATGAGCTAGGCAACCGACTACCGTCCATCTTTCTTGTAAACAAATAAAATGGTTAAGTTTCATTCGACTCGTTACCTCAGAGGTACAAATATCAGGTAACATTAATAGCTTTATATGCTGTGGAATAAATCAATTTATATGGGATAAAAATTGTCGCATTGTAATCACAAGGACAAAGAACGATACTGAATGAAGGTGTTTTCTTTTCCAACCTGCGTCTCAATAGGAAGACCTACTTCAGTGGGAGAGGAAGCTTGCACTGCGTAGAAATTGACGAATCCTTCTTGCTTACATTTCTTCAGTTCGAGTTCAGTCATGTTACGTCGTACCTAATCTCCAGGCAAACGTACACAAGGATAACTGTTTGAAAGGAAGGGAATCAGGTTGACTAAAAGACCATAGCAGATATCTACGTCTATTGTCAGGCTGATCAGGAAAATTGATGATCAAAATTCTGCCACTGATTGCAATGGGAAACTACGTAGGCGTACGTACAAAAAGCAACTATTTGAAGTGAAAATCTAACTGTAAACTTTATCGTTAATTGGAAGTTCCCTTGATTTGTGCTAACGAACAGCGCAGCCTCCCTGCTCTTACCGTCACCATTCGTGCCTATAAAATCGTCGCTACTCTAAAAAATTCTTCGGTTATGTTCACATGGGCTCGGTAACATGCAGACATGCGAGGAATGCACATGTAGTATAAAATTCATTGCCTACATTGTCAGACTTGGTTATTCAATTCATGAAATAGCAAAATTCATGAGAAACAATATGCTTATACTCGTATAACGTAGATGATTGACTCTACTGATATCATGTACTGCAATCGATCCTAAAACTCGGTTGAAGGGCAACAAGACATGAAATTAACAAGAAATGGTTGCTATATGATTTCATATTAATTGTTATAGACTAGACAAGGAATTACTCTCTAACATTATTGACTTTCATAAAGTTTTTTGAAACACCTATCTGAGTATATCAGATTGATTGGAACTGTGTAGTGAACATGCAGAATTATTCAGTACATATTAAAAGTTTTAATTACTGAGAAAATTACTAAAAACGGAGCGAAAAGAGCCTGTCCAGAACCCCGGATGACATTTAGGATTCATCTTGGTTAAATCTTGAATCCGCGGTAGGCACGAAACTCAACACGTGCTTGTCGTATGATATCTCTGCTAAACTTCTAGATTTTTTTTCAATAACAATAAGAGGGTAAATTTATCAATGTATTAGCATCGTATTATGTGATCCAGGAGTAGCAATACACCGTAATGACACCACCCAGACAATGGGTGACAATGACACCACCTAGCTGCCCCACATGACTGAGCAACAGCAAAGTCTTATCGTTTAAGCCTAATTTTGTTCTGGCCGTTGTATGATAACGTTAATATACTTTATATACCAGTATATATTATTCATTAATATTTACAGCGCTATATTCTAAAATATCGAGTAGTAAAAACTTATTTATTGAAACGGAAACATACTTGTCGGTTACACTAAATCAAAACCTCGGTGTGACGATAGACTCATTTGCACACCAGCGGGCGTATCCTAGTAAAGTATTAAAAGTTCCATTGCCCATTTCCTATATGCCATGGGAATCATTTAACTTTACTCAATCAATTCCTTCAATCTATTGGATTGAATAATATGAAACAGCAAGTTTTATCTTAAAAAAAGTTAGGGGCAAATTTATCTCTAGGACGTTTAAAATCATAGTTTCAACATGGTTATTGTCTTGTGGCTATAACTAGAAGCAATTCTTCCAGTCTTCTAATTTTAAACGTAAAAAATGAGAACACAAAGAATGAGACGAAATAAAAATCAGCTATTACATTTATAGTAGTTTGGTAAATCATAGCTAGAATTTGAATAAAGAACTGAACTCAGAGTGTCAAAAACTCCAAAGAATGTACAAATTTTTCTTGTGACAAGTACGGCAATTCTTAAAAAATGGAGATTGCAAGTTAACACGCTTTTCGAAGGAACGAAGTTTCCGGCATATCTAACATCTGCTACCAAGTTTCTCTAAGTTTCATGCTAAATTTCAGGTTCAAAATGTGCTTCGGAGTTTTGTGAAACTTTTTGCTAAAATCTGGTCTAACATCGAATAATAAATAATTTTCAGACCAAAATTTTACGATAATAAACAGAAATATACAATTTATACTTACATCACTGATATTAAACTTTAAGGCGGAAATAAAGATAAAGACTAATAATTATAATCTTAGTATTAGAAATGGTATTCCGAGGAATGATTCAATGGATTAAACAATGCAATATTAACCTACCAAAATCACAGCCCTAGCGATTGGAGTGTCCCGCAATGCACAGCAATCATGAACAGTAACATGTTTTAAAACTAATAAATCCGTAGTGAGAGAACCTAATGTATTCTCTTTGGCAGTAATATGGTCGTGAAACTCGGCAAAGACACGTAGATTACACGTTGGGCGAGTACAGTTCCTCTAAAGCAAAACTCTTGTGGAGTTCAACGCATCATTATGTAACTCCAACTAAAGTCACAGATTTTAGATAACGCTTAACGGGAATTATTTCGTAGGTTGCCCAAGAGACGGAATGCTTTCCCGAATGCTTATTCACGCAACAAAACCATGCAGCAGATGCCACATTTCTACCAGCTTTACAAACAGCATATTCTTCAACCCTAGGCCATTGGTTGCCTACGAGTCATCCTAACGGTCGCGTCCGACTATGGTCTAACGGTCAAGATTTTACCTCATGGTTAGTGCGGTACGCGGGCAAGTTGAGGGTTTGGGACCGCTCAGAACGCTGATTATTTTCACATCAACGATATTTATAATCAGTTAAGAGAATATCCTAGCTACTTTTTAGATTCAGTTAGTCAGAAAAGACTCTAAGATTGCGCGTGAAAAAAATTCGCAATTGTTAAGAGAAAAATTGAGCAGATAATTGGCAACGAAGTTAGGTTAGTGTTTCGGTGAGCAAACAACGCCTAGAAGTTAATCATGAACGCAAGAAAATGAGCAGAAACGTAGTAGAGAGTAAAATAGTCAATCTAAACATTTTTCACGTAGTAAAATGAGTAGAGAAACGGGTTACAGATCTGCAGTCACTTGTAAACGGTCTGTGAGTTTGAGTGGCAAAACATTACTCCTCCCAATCTTGAGAATGTACGATTTCATCAATACAATTAACGTCTCATTGTGATTCAGTTTTGATCAATTTGCTATGGAGCAAAGACATTGAAGCAAATACCTGAAAAAATAAGCTCGAATATCTTTCATGAAAAACAGAAGAAATAGCCTTCTTTTAAATACTAATGCTACTTAAATGTTTTCCTTAAACCAAACTGCGCTAAACGATCATCAAACGCTTGAGTAAATATTTACGTTGGAAATTTTCCACTTCTTGAGCAGAAAAAAAAAACTTAGAAATATCTGACTCGTAAAAAATAGTTCTAAAACAACTCGTGTAAAATATTAAACTTTCGCATTCTGATACAGTGACATAGGTTCCATTCATGTTTCTTTTAAATATTCACAGTCAACTTTCAAGAGATGAAGTCGTGAAAGTTCAAGCAGAAAATGCAAAAATGAATATCGCAGATAAACATGTCTTATGAAACTGCGAAATACGATAAAAATATATTGTGATTCAAGTTAAACGTTAACAGCTCGCTGAGCTGGTGAGTCAAACCTGTGAAGACTAGATTTTTCTAGTTGATTTCGGATGAAGATTGTGCGAATGTAACACCCAAGATACGAGAAAGTTATTAGAAAGCGTGGTGTATGATGCAAAAAAACAGGGACATAAAATTACAAAGATGATCCTACAAAATCTAAATCCGGTTTGCAGTGAATACATAGCCAGGGAATGTATTTACTAGCAACATGAATGACCTTTGATCTTTGTGAGACTGACTGGCTTTCAATGAGTTGAGTGGAAATGACTTAAATGAGAATTCGGACAGTGAGTTCAGGATCGCTCAGACAGGTGATCTTGAATTGCGATGACAAAAAAATTCAAATAGTAATGAAGATGATAAGATCATTATGGACGTAATTTAAATGAAATATTAATTGGAGTTTTCTAGATTGCTGATCCAAAGACTGCACACTCAGCGAGTTCGGTGCAATAATTTCTGCCAGTCAAGATGAATTATTTCGGCAGGTTAGAGCAAAAGTAGAGAATAATTATTAATTGATCAAATATTAAGCGTCGAAAATTCATGCAAAAGATTCAAAAGTGTTAATCATGACGAAATGGCCCAGACGATCAGTGAAGTATTGATTTCTGGATCACAGAAGCGTAGTGGCCCAGGCGGGCAGTAAAGAGACCCAGAAATCCTCAGTCCCCAAGTAGGATCTGGGCGCCGGACGTCAGTCACGCCGTCCACTTCTCACACGCAGCGTCCTCAGACTTGCTGCTCAGCGACGCCACTGACGTCCTGGGCATAAATGTTCAAAATTCTTGACAAACATTCATCATCAATATTACTTAATGTTTCCCGTCAATATTCGGTAACGTTCCTCGCTATTGCTCGAATACGCACTCACTGTATGTGAAAATATTTACATTATCCAATAATAGGAAGGTTTTGCAGCGCTCAGACTATAATATTGAAATGACTTTTACTTTTATTGTAGAGAATGCTAATCGTCAATGTTCACAAATTTTTAGTATCAGAGTCGGAAAATGTTAGCCGTCAACGTTGGGAAGTTTTGACCTACAACATTATGAAATGTTCATCTTTAATGTTGTTGAACAATCACCATCATCTACACAGCACGAGCGCAATGAATTAATAAAATCAATAAATTCATTATCCCTGTTCGCTTCATGCGCATTATATTTCTATAAATCCAGTTGGGCATAAACCAGAACAATTAGGTACCTACTCATTTCAGCTCGACACCAGATCCTCTTAGAACCTCAATAGGCGGCAAGTTTCTTCTTAGCAAAAAATTTTTTATTAAAAAGTATCCCACTAGTCGAGTTTATTTCATTTATTGGCTAATAGTTATCGACTGGGAGCAACCTAGTAACATCAAGCGGCAGGAATTGTTTTTCGGATCTTCTTTTAAATGAAATTTTTACAAGTGTTAGTGAACATTCGTGTAAATAATTATATGGTACAGATGTGTCGAAACGAGACATATTTCTCTTAAAATCAAAAAGATACAAGCTAAGTTTGTAAGTTCTTGGCTCAATTACCTGGAGGTGGCGTGGTGAAGGCCGCTGGAAGACTCTTGACTGCTCACTGAAGGCGTCGATCCCTTGGCCTTCTTGAGGACGCGCTCCAGGTAGGCTGCTGGAGCCCAGCCTTCGTAGAGCACAGAGCAGACCCTCACGTACCACCAGCCAGCACAACCCACCTGTTAGTTTATCCGCAGGTTCTTAAACCGACTAAATATTGGTAAATCAGTAAGTTATTAGAAATATGTTAGAAGATCAGCAGGTTCTTAAACCAACTAAATATTGGTAAATCACTAGGCTATTAAAAAAATGTCGAAAAGACGGCCTTTTCCATCAGCAATTTATGTCAACAGCCTTTTCACTCAGTCGTTATTTAAAGAAGATTTTCTTACACCCATTATTTTAACGGCCTTTCCGCTCAGTCGTTATGGAGTGAACTTATTAAGTGTAAAAAAAGTATTTAGTAAATTCTGGGAACTCGTGCATCTCCAGAAATTCGGTGCGTGGAAATCAAGACTCACAATTATACTCAAATAGTGGAAGAGAGACTGAATTACTCAGTGATAGTTAATATAGAGATGAGATCTTCAACAAAATTCATATGCAACTTAAAAATCATTCTAAAATATATATAATCCTAAAAATGATATATAACGAAATAGCGATATAATAAAAAGCCTTGTAAGTTACCGTAATCGCGATTGTTCAAATTGAAGATGCACAAAATTTACCTTGACAAGTTCGACAAGGTCGCCTTCTCGTAAACTGACTTCCGACGGCCCCATGGCGGTGTAGTCAGCGAGCACCAAGAACTTCGACGACATCTGGTGGGGGACGCAAAATTATACTTACAACTATCTGACTCGTGAGAATTAGTTCTACAAAACGCGTAGAACATTAGATTTTTGCATTTAGATACAGTGACATGGCTAAAATAAGAAATGTTCCTTTTTGTTATGTCACAAAGTCAGGCAGTGTTTTGCCATCTAATTCGTGAAAACAATTAACTATTAAAGTTGAAATACTAGGATACTGCGGTTGAATGTTGTCTAAATCGTTCACTGAACATTCCTCGCTTTTTACAATGGCTATCAGGATTTATTTAATCAGGATTTTATTAAGATGAGTAGCAACTTGCCGCGAGTTATAGCGACATTTCGTTTTGACTATTGAGGCTGGTATCTCAATGTCTGGTATTAGCAAATTAATTTGCCTAACCTTATTTACGTGCGACATAAGACGCAAGAACCTCAAAGATATCAACACGCCATTGCTTTGTTAGAGAAAATCATTTTCAAATTTGAATAATTATGTTACCAAAATTGCTGAAAATAAAATTCTGTCAACTTTATGCTTTAACAAGGTAAATTTTATTCAACCCTCCCGTCATCTGGAAATATAATGCTCTGTGGTTTTGTTCACCTCATGTCCTCCCGAGTTTAGTTTTGTTCACCTCATGTCCTCCCGAGTTTAGTTTTGTTCACCGCATGTCCTCCCGAGTTTAGTTTTGTTCACCTCATGTCCTCCCGAGAAGATCTCATGGTCGTCCTCCTCCTCGGAGGCCGAGTACTCAGAGGACCAGTTGTGGTCGTCCTCGTCCTGCGTCAGCCTCTCCTCCGTCACGTCCAGGCCGCTCACCAGCGACGTCCTGCTGCCCGCGCGCCCGGTCTTCACGCCTGCGGGGCAACAACAAATTTGTTTCTCCGAAATTCAAAACCCTATTACTTTTTTTGTTATATGTATGTATGTATGTATTACTTATGATTAATAATAGTACCTATAATCATTCATGGTTAGATTTAGTCGTCTACGGCTTTATTAAAGACAATCTTTGCCATCAAATTCGTAAAAAAAATGAATTTCTTGTTCACATGCAGAAATAAAGCATAATAAAGCAATAATAGAGTAATCTATGGCTTAACTATGATAGTGTACTTTTTTATTTTTATGACTAGGATTTTGCAAAAAAAAAAAAACATCCGCCTTCTCACCCGTCATGGACATCATGGGTCCAAGACCAACGCCCGCGTCGAGGTTGCTGTTGCTGGAGGGGAGGGCGGCACCGTTGCTCAGGACGCTTACTTCCCAAGACGCCGTTTGCCGGAGCGCCCTTCGCGACATAGAAATGTTTGGCGTTACAAACACTGCCACCAGTGATCCGCTACAGTATAGTGAAAATTATATTGTACACTAATGCAAAGGCATCGAAAACTACGAACTGCAAATAATAGTAACGCCACAAAAATAATATAATATATAGTAATAGTATAATATATAATATAATAATAGTAACGCACAAAATAACAAATAACTGCCTTGACTAAAGAGCAAACATTAAGGGTGGAATGAAAAATGCGTCCGGTTTAATAAACTTATTTGTTAACACGAATGATACAAATTGCTTACTGTCAGTTTCGTTAAACCCAGAAGTAGAAATCTTCTAAACATATTTCTTCCAACTACCTTCCAATCATTGAAGTTAGTGATCCACGAAACAGCTACGCTCATTGGAAGTTGAATTTCTTCGTGTGAATTACCATCATACACAAATACTAATTCAGTTACAATAGTTTATACTGTCATGTTATATTAATAATAAAAGCCCACCTGTGCTGCGCAGTCGGGGACTGAGGAGGCCTAACGCCGTTGAGGCTCGAGCCCTTGTGCATCCTGGCCGAATATTGTTTGATGTTCTCGCCTTTAAGATACTCGAATTGCTCCAGCAAAACCCTTTTGATTTCCTTAACCCAAAGATCCTTGACATCGAGAGAAGGGGCGAGTATTGTGTAGACTTCCTGGCGGCCCTGCAGCCACACTTCGAACTTACGCATGTCCCCCTTGTTGCCCCGTACGCTCTCAGTGAGCCCCACTTGCGACATCTGGGGAGAACAAGTTAGTTAGTTAGTTTAGTGGCCAAATGTTTACTAGCGCTTCAGCTATTTAGCTATCTCGCACCGAAAGTCAAGATGAACATCACCATAGAGGTGGAAGGAACAAGGGGGCGAACTTGCAAAGGTGAGTTCGTGGGTAAAAGAAGTTGTAAGTAAATGTATATTGATCGCATGAAAAGCCCGTGTCGAGCAAGAAGGCTTGATGAAGCAGGCTTCAAAATTTGGGAATTAGCAGCTGATTGTATAACCTCTCAGATAAAATTTTCGCATCAGATTGACGTAGAATTAACTATTTGAAATATAAGTTAATTGAATTAATGGTAATATAAATATGTGAAAATACAAGTTAATTGAATTACTGATAATATAAATATGTAAAAGAGAATTACTAACCAAATACCGGTTAAATATGACAAGAAAAATTGCATTATTAGGCGAACAATCGAATTAGGCCTTGAGACACACTAGGCATTATACCAGTAGACAAAAGTCAGTTCCAACCTCACCTTGAGGGCGCATTTGAACTGATAGCTGGCTTTGTCGTTATCTTTGCCGGTCTTCTTGGTGAAGAGCAGCGCCTTTTCGTACAGGAAGAGGTGACGCTGGGCCGGCTTGATCCTGAGCTCCCTGAGCACGCGCTTGTTCTCAACCCACACGCTGAAGGGCCCTTGCATCAGCAGCTTGCCCAGCTCAGTCAGGCTACCCTGAGGGGAGAGTAGCTGTGGTCAGCCAAGATAATCTAGGAAGGGAGGTACATTGGTGAGTCCCGCTGGGAATAAAGAGATTATTTGTTATTTTCCCTGGGTGTGGTATGACATGATCATTTGATTAGCCAACTACCCTGATGAGAAAATCAGTGGCTGAAAAGCAGTGGCTGAAAAGCAGTGGCTGAGAAGCAGTTACACGAAATGAGTAGCAAATGCCGAGGGCCAGTCAGATATGCCAAAAAGTGATCCGTGACTCGTCAAACTTCATGCGAGTTAATCCTTCCTCCTCATATATTTTGTGAAAATTAAAACACTAAATTACTTTCAACGGGAATTTTAATTCCAAATTAAAACTGTGTACCTTAACTAAATGCCTTACCGGGAAAGCAGTGATTGCAACTTGATGCATAGAGTCATTGAGGCACTTGAGAACTGCCAGCATCGTGTCCACGCCTTCCTGTAGTGCGTCGCGCCCATCATTTCCCTCCACACACTGCAGGAGGTCCTGTGCGTAGTCAAGCTCCGTGTCAAAAATTACAGCCGAGACACGCATGCAACTCCCATGTCATCATTAACTTGAAATAAATTCCATAAAAATAGATCAAAAGTTCGATCGAATTTCAGTAAATCAAGTTTTTGTTTACATCTTTGCGTAAGATTCCTGATGCACAACCGCATTGGAGTACAACATAGATGAGCTTACGTTTTAGGTTATTTTATAAAGTAAATGTGGATGAAGTTAACTTCACCTTAAGCAGTAACTGGTATTTGGTGATTCTCTGAACAGGTTTGAGGAGGTATGCGCCGAGTGGTAGTTTGTGCTGAAGTCTTCTCTGGCACTCAGAGAAGAAGAGGTTGTTGTCCCCCACCTGCCGCCTGAGGTCTTCACTGGCTGGTTTGTTTTGGCAGTACAGTGAGTACAGGTGGTGGAATGATTCCTTCTGCAAAACGTTAAAATACGTTACACCCGAAAGTAACGGAAGAAAATTTATATATAAAAAATATAGAACTCCTCAACATCAGAAGGAAACTGGTAAACTCCTTAGTCCTTTGAACTGAGACCAGGCGGAACAGGAAATGAAATTATAGACTGGTACCTAGTAATGACTTGAATGGAAACATCTTCAACTTGATATTCCAACAGAGTTCGCTCTGCCAGCTTGTTTTGCGAGGACTGAAAAACAACAAATACCCTTAACTGTGGCATACTCAGTAACCCTAGCACTATCGCCTCACTCTTTGTACAAAGCAGAGCCCGATCAACTCGGGCGTGTCGATGCAGTTCTCTAGGTCTCTAAGGAAGACGTCGTTATGGAAGAGGTAGATTTGTTCCAGGTTCCCGAAGAGGATGTCGCTCCTGCCGTACAGCTGGATGGGGATCAGGTGCTGCATGTCAGGGTTCATCATGTCATCCTTGTAGCCCTGTAAATTAGGTTTGGTTAAACTAATTCTCATCAAAGTTTTTACGGCAAATAAACTAGTTGAATAGTATATCATCGGAGTCAATGAGTAAATAACATTAAATTAAATGAACATAAGGCTACAATTACAATTTGAAACAATATAAAAACCGTATGTTCCAGTTCCTCATTATTCGAATTGCACAACCTGAACTATGGAATCAGCACCTCGCCCTAACGCGCTCTAAAATTACCGAAGCTTTTTCTAAAGAATATATACATGATAATCAATTTGAACTAAACCTGCATCAATAAAAAAACCTTTGCTAACGCTCATAATCATCACAAAACTAACCTTAATCGCCTGAAGTTTCATATATACCCTCAGTTATCGTTTCAACTTACCCTGAGGACAGAACACAGCTCAGAAACGTAAATTTTCTCGGTGTCAAGAAGCTCTTTTAAGACAAGACTCCTCTTGCCCTTGCCTGCACCGTTGCCTTCCATCACACACGGGGAGCTGTCGTCGCTCTAATACAAAAAAAAACTGGAATTGATCGAGTACCACGCAAAAGAAGTCATATATTGCCACTGATTCATGGGACTTAGCGGCAGCTCGATTCAACCGATTTACCCTAGCAAATCTACCACCTAAAATCATTTGTACCTATAAATCAAGAAACATTTAGACGCACCAGTTGGCTGCAAAGAATCATTGAGCCTTACCAGCCTTCCTCCGAGGCTGAGTGTGTCTGCCATGACACCAGGATGGGCGCCGTTGTGCATGAGGCTTCCTTCGCTGCCGTTCCTCATTAAGGGCTTCTGGTGGGTCTGGAAGTGGATGCTCCTGCCATGGTCAGGAGATACCGAGACTCCTCCTGCAGAAGCCACTGGAGGAGGTCGTGACAACTGCACTGACAGCTTCTTCAGCGCCGACTTGCGTTGTTCACACAGCAACGTCACATCCTCCACGCTTTTGACGATCTAAAAAGCAAGATTTGTAAGCACATGCTAACACATTGGTACTGCTGGATTTCAGTGATAAAATCAAGTTCCGTGTAAAAAAGTCGAAAAATTCAATTATAAAATCTAAAAAAAAGAAAGCTCTTTTTCACATTTTACGGAAGAGGTATGATAGATTGCCAGGTTAAGATAGGAGATACAAGATAGGACTCACCTGCTGCAGGATCACCCTGGTATCAGGCAGGATGACTCACCTGCTGCAGGATCACCCTGGTATCAGGCAGGATGACTCACCTGCTGCAGGATCACCCTGGTATCAGGCAGGACGACTCACCTGCTGCAGGATCACCCTGGTATCAGGCAGGATGACTCACCTGCTGCAGGATCACCCTGGTATCAGGCAGGATGACGTCCTCGTATTCACTGAAGAGGTCGGTGGTCCTGGCAAGATGAGCGTGAGGAGCCACTGCGCAAAGCTTGTCGAGGCGACGCAGGCTGTGCGCTGCTGCCTCCAGGCCTGAGCACCTCTCCAGCTGCGTCGCCGCCAGCAGCTCCGCGCCCTCCGAGCACCAAGCGCTCGCCTACGCACATACGCTACTTCACAACACACCCCACACTATAGTCATGGCTTTGAGATAATTCTTTATATCAGATAATCGACATCTCATTTCAATAAAGGATTTCCTATAGAGAAAAAGTGCCTATAATATTTGGTGAATGTAATCAGTGGATTTTATTAATTAGTGAGTGAAACAATAGATATCGTATACCTACAGCCTAGCACACTGTTGAAAATTAAGTCCCAAGAAAATAAATTAAATCTCTTCGTAACCTCAGACGGCACTTGCTGTAAAATTTTGTCCATAGAATTTGTTCGGAGACATTTTACACTCTACACCGTTCTTGTAGTTTATTTTCAGCTATATCATGTATTATTCTGTATTAACATCATTTTTTGCACGGAAAATAATTATGTATTCAATGGTAACAGAATTGCCAAGAAAATTCAGCATACTTTCTCATGGTTCATATAATTGTACAATAAAGAGTACAGGATAAATTGAGAACAGAACTTTGCACAGCTTAACACGCACTCTATCTGCGGCCTGGTGCAGAGCGAAGCAGCGCTCAAGGGTCTTGCATTTAAGAGCTACGAGGTCTTCGAGCTCCTGCTTGCGTTTCGCCAGCTCTCCGCACTTGGGGTTGATGCTGTCCACGGCGTAGTGCTGGCACGCTATCAGGTGCTGCCCCGAACTTCGTACATCCGCGGCACGCTGTAGCACGTTCTGCTCAGCATAGATACGATGAGAACTTGATGTCACAAGTATAAGTATAGTTTCTTTGGCGTTGAAGAATAGGCCTGCATGGGCCTGATTTTGATTAGAATTGATATCGAAAAGGAGTAATTGTGATTGAGTTGATCTCGCAAAGGTCTAACTAAAATTGGGTTAATCTCGCAAATGTCAGATAGCGATTGAGTTGATTTAGTGTTTTATTCCGAATGGTCCAATTTTTTCGTACCCTGACGGAGTCGTTGAACCTGTGCGTGTTGTCGAGACGGTCTTGTGCCTGCTGGGTAGTCGAGGCCACTGAGGGCAAGGCTTCAGCCTCCTGAAGGCGACACTTCAGCTCACACTGGCGGCACAAAGAATAAATGTAGCCAGGGGTCACTGCCAAAATGAGTACAGTCCAGATAGAGCCATATATTTAAGACAGTGAGGAGCAAAATAAACGTCGCTATACGTTCGGTTCCCCCTTTGCTTCCTTACAACTTTCAATCTTTTATAAAAGATATAAAACTGCAAGTATATAAATCTGATAGTGATTACCATACAGATAGCAACCAAATATAAACAGCATGAGAAGAAATAATTAACAGGCACTTACAAGGATATCTTTGAACTGTGCTTCGAAGCGTTGTAGCTGCAGGCATTGCGTCAACCTCGCGTGCTGCTGCTGCCAGAACTCGTCGAACGTCGCCTCGGTCTCGTCGAGCTGCACCAGCAGCCTCTGGACGGCCGAGACGTACGTCAACTGGTCTACGGTTGAGTAGCCAGACCCTACGGCTATATCTGTCCCATGACCATTCATATGTTGGTCTGGTTTAGACAGACCACGGTCTTTGATGGCAGGGCTGCTCTTCAGGGCAGAGGACTTGGAAGTATCGGGGTTGGCTGGTTCTCTTCCGTCTGAGCAGGATTGGGCGTTCGCATTCGCGTTGGATTTTCTGATGCATGCGAGAAGAGACTCGCCGTGTCGGGTGGCGGACAGGAGGTCGTCTTTAAGAACAGCGTACTCCGCGGCCTGAAATGAAATTCATTCATTATGTGAATATATGAGCCTCTGCAAATTCGTTCAATTAAACAAGTTTTAAATAAAATAATGCTCAGAGACCAGCACAGTTGAGGTCTTCACTCGCAATCTATTAGCTTATAATGCCAGAAGGCAACGAAAGATTAAGAAAGTCGGTCAAAGCTCAAAAATATTGGACAAGGGCCAGGAAGAAGTCATTATTTATTATTATTTAAATATAATTATTACCTGAATGGCAAGCTGTTCCTGCGCCTGGGCCACGTCACTGGGGAGCTCGACCTCCTGAAGGCGTTGAGTGAAGCCTCTTAGGGCGGTTCCGATCTCATGGGTGCTCGCGCTGAACCTTTCCAGCGCCTGCATGACATCAGAATTATAGCATTCTATTTCAATGTGATTCGATTTTTAAATATATTCCAATTCACGCTTTGAATAAATTATGCTTGCGAAATTTTATTCAACTTGTACCTAGAGAAAGTAACTTTTTGAACACGATTGCATAAATTGTAAATAAATTGAGCCTCTATATAAGATTGTATTCGAAAAATTTGCAAGTAATTAATTGTGTTAAAAATATTTCGAAATTTTCTTCCAACACCTTATCGAGACTGCCATGGAAAAAACTGCCACTGCAACACAAAAAAGAATTCCTTCAAAGTTATTACAGTATTTAATGATATTTTTCTACATCAAGTACTCCATAGGTTAACTGATGTTGAAAGTATCCGGGTAACTAACTAGTACTGCTAATACTCCCGACTCCGTTAGCTAATTAGTACGGCACGTAGCCCACTTGTTAACTAGTGTTACAAATACCCTGTAGGCTAATTATTATTTCAAGTACACCGCTAGCTTACTAGTGTTGCAAGTACCCCGATGGGTAAATAGTGTTGCAGGTAGCCCGCTAGCTAACTAGTGTTGCAAGTACTCCGATGGGTGAATAGTGTTGCAGGTAGCCCGCTAGCTAACTAGTGTTGCAAGTACCCCGATGGGTAAATAGTGTTGCCAGTACCCCGATGGGTAACTAGTGTTGCAAGTACCCCGATGGGTAACTAGTGTTGCAAGTACCCAGATATGTAACCAGTTATCCGTTACTCACAATCCTCTGTTCGAGCCAAGCGTCGTGGCAGTAGGACGCAGTGCCTCCCAGGTCCTCCGTCAGCTGATCCCTGTCTACGTGCTCGTGTAGCTCAGAGTCACCGGCACACACCACCACCTGTGTACACTGTATACTTGCACACACAATATACACACACGCAATATACACACACCTATGTACACAATATATTGCGTCCCCTGATACCCATTAAAAGTGGAAGCCGAATAGACGAAGAAATTAGGTGTGAAAACGTGACACTCCCTACGGCCTTGACAGATATTTATATTATATCAGTTGTTTCTAGAGATATCATTACGTTTATTTATTTTCAGCATAGGCGTGAATTTCGTGATTGAAGCGCATTGTGATATTATCTAACACCCGGCTGGGTAAGTAATATTTGCACGTGGCCATGTGTTTACAATAAAGTTCATATTTACGCCCGATTTACAAACGCAAATTTACCAATTCGCGAGAATTTGCAACTGTCCACTCAGTATGAAGTGACAGTGATAATAAAAGGAAGAAGTTCCCCAGCCATTGTGAAATACTAATAAAAAATAACCCTCTTAGTTTTCATATGTTTAAGAATTCAGCATGATATTATAGAAGAAGCAGAGTGCGTTATTCTTTCCACAGCGATAGTACGCATGCATGAAGAAATCTATATATACCGGTATTGTTAAATTTCTGAACAACTGAGTCTTAGGTATCGAAAGTTTTGGGTTGAAAAGTTCACTTTTTACTGGCCATTAGTAAGAAGGTACCTACCGGTATTAATCGTCTCGTCATAAAAATATAGTTTCGACACTTTAAAATCGTCAATCGACAAATTGGGAGGGCAGAAACGATAGATCTTGCTACTTCGTGACTTGAGCAATAATTGGATATATTTAAAGATTTAAAAAAAATTAATTCGCTCCCATTTACATTCAGTGGTGAGAGGTTAAAGAAGAAATACTTTTATTCAAAATTCTCCACTGAAATCAATGAACTTCATATTCTGATGGAGTTTAAGATGGATAAATTATTTTCATCTTGTCCATTGTATTAGTCATCTTCTCTTCATTACGAACACGACAATAAGTTCTTATCTTTTACAATGCATTTGCAGGAGGATAGTGAGCATCGCAAATAAAAGTTTAAGTTGCTCCGGACCTCACCTTGAACTTGAACTCATCCTTGAAAACTTTACAGGACACTTCAGAGATGGCCTTCTGCAAGAAGCTGGTCGGCCTCAGCACGTACACCGCGGAGATCAGCCCAGGGAAGAAGTTCTGACCAAAAACAATGAAAAAATTTCTGTGGCTTCAAAATTTTCACAGACTTTTACTGAATTTGGCTGGATTTCGTAAAAAGATGTAGTGTAATATAATTTTGGCAAAGGATTTCAAGGACAAAATATACCCGTAAAAATTTGCCCAATTTGCCAAAGAGGGAATCCGTTGAGCTTTTCGTAACATGCTCTGTGTTGGCTTTTCTTATTTTTTTTTTTTTTGTGAGAGGTATCACTAATAATAATTTATTAAATCCAAATTGATCCAAAACGAATATTATGGCTACTTTCCCCCGACCCTTAACCGATTTCTAAAGGAAGTAGTACGATGCGTGGAGATTACTTACGGCTATCCTGACGAAAGCCGTTTTGACCGAGGTCCATTTATCGTTACGGCGGTCAATGATGAGAACGAAACCCAAGTCACCGTCTTGCAGCCTGCGCACAAAAAGGTGGCTTAAGTTAACTGTTGGATCTTAATAGATGGTGAAGATCACCGAAACGTTAACAAACAACTTAGTCCACCTTTATTTGACCTATACGGTCAACTTTTCACGTCCAGTTGGGAAGTCTTACTTGCCTTATACTGTTTTTGCATACAATTTCTGGTCACAGTATAACCTATAATCATTGCCACTGTTTCGCTAAAGGAAATATTAATCGCGAAGCACGTCAAAAAGGCAAAAAGTGACTTTGACTTGAAACTTCGTACGTAAATCAAAACGTTTAATGCTGAATAAACTGAAGGATTTTTGTTTGAATTCAGATAAACCCTGGAATAAAATCATTAAATCATACTTTTATTACAACGAATTTCTCTTCTAAATATCCTAAAAATTAGAATGCACAGACAGTGTCAGCAACAACTCGTCCTTGTCAGCTCGTCAGTCAACAGAAAGCCAATATTGCGACTATGAAAAGTACGCGTGTTCTAAACTGAGAAGAAAATCGATCATGTTTATGACAGATTATTTATACATGCATTAGGAACATCTCCTTCAATTAATTTTTTGCCATACAATGATTTAAGCAATATTTGTATTCCTTCGCCACGCATGTAAGCAATATTTGTATATTCTTTCGACAAAACCATGGTCGTCGTTACAATCACTACACTGTACATGTACTCACGGCGGCACGGAGGTGAGGTAGCTCATGAGTTTGGAGCTCATGCTTACATACATACAAGTATGTAAGCAATATTTGTATTTTGTACCACTTCGCCATACAAAACCACGGTGGTAACAATCACTGTACAAGTACTCACGGCGGCACGGAGGTTAGGTAGGTCATGAGTTTGGCGTGGTCCTCCTCACTCAGGTCGCAGAAATTGCCCTTGTCAGGCAGTGTGATGATGGGGCACCCGTCTCGGGACTTGCCGCCTGCAAACAACACTCGTGGTCTACACTGGCTGCAAGATCTCAATGGAAATTTTGAACTTAAAATTCAGATAAACCATAATTCAATGCCAAGTACAATGGCAGATTCACGTGGGTTCGCTTGGCCTTGCCAATTATGAAGGGATTCCTCGGAATAGTCGCACTGGGCAATCTTTTGCTGTAATAATTATCCGAGTTTGTTTAAGTATAATACTTTATTATAAGATGGCAGAAATTTCTTGATTACCGGTACCTATATGCGTACAATTAATGACCAGAGAGTGCATTTGAATTTTCATGGAGTTGAACAATTTTTAGATGACGTTGGTAGATCAAAAGGCAGATTTAGCAAATAATAATAAATTAAAGACGTTTCGAATGTATCAACATTCATTTTCAAGTTAAGAGAAGCATTGACTTTCTGGCTGGAAATTTTTGTGTTGTATCCTTTTTACGTGTGTTATGTACTTATGTCCAACCCAATTTCTCTATTCAATGCTTCTCTTAACTTGAAAATGAATGTTAAAATGAATGTTAAATATTCAAGCTTTAAAGAACCAAGTATAATACTTTATACACAAATGTATTGCATTGTTCATGCTGTATATTTGTAGAATACTCTTATTTGAAATATTTATCATGACTTTTATACCAATGAGTTTTTTGCCATTGGTGATCTTGTTTTAAAAAGGTACAACCTGCACATGGCACACCCATACAGCACACAAGGTGCTTATTTTAGTCCTGAAGTTAAGATAAGCGACTTCTATGACTATGAGTAATACAGGATGCATGTGGTCGGGAACTTGATACGCTTAGATATTTTGCACGCCACATTCTGAGACTATTTCATGCTCGAGTATACAGCAGCATCTCGCTATTTAAATATTTATTCAAGACATTTGTGTATGCAGTGAATAAATATATCTTCTCTGCTTCTAATAACATATGTACCTTAGTTACTTAAAACCTCTATTGACGGTTAAACTAAGGGTAATGGTGCTTGACCACGTAAACGGGGCTATATCACTTAGCCAGACAAAAGGGCATATCAGTGCTACGTCAGCGCCCTCTCATGCTGTAGGTAAAGAAGTGCGTCACAATCATGAAAGCCTGACCCACTCATGCTGTAGGTATGAAATTTCGTCACAATCATGAAAGCATGATCCACTTATTTTTCCGAGTGCATACCTGTGATGATGGCGTACTGCCCGCGCAGGAGGTCGCCCACATCGCGGACGGTGAGGGGACGGTCGTCTCCGTCCACGAGGGGAGTTGAGTGTGGTTGCTCCGTCCACGAATCTGCAAGGAACAGACGTAATGAAGTCATAAAATATGCACAAGATTTATTTTAAAAATATTCTGATAGTAAAAAGCCGCGCCACTTTTGATATGGCTCGTTTCAAAAGTGCCGGTGGAATGAAAGAAAGAAAGTTAATTAATTAGGTTCTTTTCTATACTGTATCGAAGTTCTAAAATATGTATAAGATTCAGTGAAAAATATTTCGAAGATAAAAAGCCGTGCGACTTTTGATATGGCTTGTTTCAAAAATGCAGGTGGAATGATCATATACTAAGAATTTAATTAATTAGGTGTCTTTTCTGTGTTGTATCGAATTGAGCGGTATCAAAACACTAACATGTTGTTTCCCATGACGCATATCAAATGAGAAATTTTCTCAGATTCCAAATAGGTACATTTCATTGTAATAGTGAATTAAAAAGACGTGGTCAACTGTTGAAAGCTAACAATGCATTCCTACTGCAACGTTCATTTAATCAAAATGATTTTGCAGAAAAATTTACAAACTTGGCCGATTTTGATGAATTAAGAAGCAACATCAAAAGACCGCCTAGAGAGTTTCCAAGCAGTCAAAGTAGTGCTCCCTCTGATGATGAAGTACAAGAAGAGGAAACGTGCAGTTAAGGACGCACGAAACTGTGTTCTACTTACTGATGACTAGCGCTTTGATACTTGTATACCTACATATCGCCCGCATCCGGCATCACGGGCTCTTGGCTATAATCCCAGCATTTATCACGTCTATTATCAGAAGTAACGAAAATAAAAACGTAATTTGTGTAAAACTTAAACTTGTGACTGGTACAAGAGAACTATTCCATTACCATTCCTGAAATTAATACACTAGAAATTGAAATATATGCATCTACCTTCCAAGTTGTTCGTACTATAATATTTGCAACCCATAACCCAGTATTTTAGAACATGATAATAATAATAATTTATAGTTTTGCCTCTTATCAACTAGCTGCAGGTTGTGAACATTACGCGTATGCGGGAAAATAATGGTTCGATAACTTGCACACTGTACTTCCATGTTGCTGTCCTGGTGAATATTTAGATAATGAATTTCCGCAGTGGACTGCGTTCCTTGCATGGTAATCATCGGAGCAGAATGGAGGGAAGGCTGGACGGAAACCAACGCAACCGCGAATTTCAGTTGGCTGTCACTGACAGCGAAAAGCCTGGTGCCATTCAAAGGGATCGATGGGCGAGGCATTTCTGTTGCTGATAGCAAGGTTTTCGAGAGAACAATTACACCACATTTAATATAAACGAAACAACAAAGCATGTAAACAAAGGAATATAATACGAGTTTTCCGTCCGTCTCTTGCTCACGCTACACAAGCATGATCCATGTGATACCGCGACGCTGATCTCAGCAAATTCATTTATCACGTTCATTTGATTTGAGCTGACGCTGAGATTTAGTTTAGAAATTTACAAACTAGTTTGTAGCTGACATTTAAGGGCAACGAATAATTTACGATTCAATAACTTCTAGAAGTGATAAACTAAACCGTGATTATTATTATTATCAAGTTAATCATTGCAACAAGAGTTAGTCAAGAAAGCTATCGAAGTCGCACGTTACATCCGGACTAATACGAAGCAGCGCGACAGATCTGCTTAGTGCGCAGCTTATAGCTTATGCTCAGCATGCATGCAAGCTCGTGACTTGACCGCGCATGGGAGTTTTAACACCACAGCCTCACTTGAATGTCGGGCTGACATGAGTACAAATCTCTGATAAGATATGAATTTATTGCTCACTTTCCCTGAACTTTAGGCCGATGTTTCTTCCGAACGACTAAATGGTTTCCTCGGCCTTTTTCTGTAGTTCTGCGTATTGCACTTTATAGTTCATTTGGAAGAGGAAATTTCAAACTTCTGTTGATCAAATCGTAAGATGAGAGAGGAAGAAAGCAAGGAGCCGAATTATTATCCTTTATAGTTCACTATGAGAAGTATTTAAACCAAATATATTAAATCCATGTAGTTTTTCTAATTCTTTAGTGGTGTCAACAGATTTAAATACTTAAGCTAATAAGAGAAATTAAGAAATTTTTCGCTAATAAATTTTGTTATCGGTACGTAGTTTGGAAGCTTACAGAAATTTATTCTCGATCCGAGTCAACAGAAGTCACTTTTCAATCAATAACAGCATAAAGAACATGAAACTTTTCGCTTTTGTTCATATTTGTGAAGGAATAATTTCAGTTCAAAATTTATATATTTTATATATATATATATTTATATATTTTTATTTATATATTTTTTATATATTTTTTTATAATTCGTGCAGAGCAGTCGCACGTAATTTTCCAAAGCTGATACAGTCTCTTCTTCGTCACGTCGGCCACCTCAGTTGCATTAAAGCAGACTTTCGGGTTTGCGAAACGAAAATCCGTATTCCAGATTATTTTACTGTGGCAGGTTTGGCATTGAGTGCCAAGTTCTGCCACCGAAGAGGCAGGGTTCTCGGATAACGAGGAATAGGCGACAGTGTAACGGCAGCGCATACCAATGAGCGGCATGAGAGCGATGTGAGCTGCTGGACAATGTCAGGCAAAGAGGCTATTCCAGTTGTGGTGAAATGGCTTTTTTGGAACAACTTCAAAATATGGCACTTCAAAATATGAAAAAATATGAAAAAATCATGGGAACTTAAAAATAATGATAATCTGGTAGATAAAATGCCGAAATAGGCTGGGATCGGTCGTCTTTGAATGACCTTCCTCTTTATATTGATTCAGCGTATGTGATCGTGAAGCACGCCACAGCTGTGGCACGTTGAGCGTGTCACGTGTGCAAAGCTGTGCAGGGAGCAACTGTTCTGCCAAACCCAGGCGCATGATTCATGGTGACTAATTAACGTCGTCTACGGATACCTTAACCGTTGTAAATGATATTCCGATCCAAATGCTTTATAACTAGCAATATCGTCAGTCGGTGAGTGGTTAAGATGACAATTCTAGTTTCTGGATAGTTTTGCAGGCTTTTATCACCCTCACCATCACCCTCTTTGCGCTGATAAGACGTATATAGTACAGGTGTCGCATCCAAAACGTGCTCATTCAATATTGATGGTTTAGAATGTTGAAACGCCGAAACGCCTTATTTCTCTGGGCGCGGAATGACACACAATTTAAAAATCAAAATAAGGCTTAAACGCAAGAAGGCTCACTAATAGTCCATACCGCTGTTTCCACAAAGGGAAGACTATTTGCAATTTAAAATCTGTAAGTACAATCATCATGTGCCAAGTTTTGAAGACGTCTGTAATGGAACTGCATAAGAACGCAAATCAAAGTCACGGCATCAAAGTTTCACGTTTTGATGAAATCCTTTTATAGACTTGCTGGAAACGCGTACGTACCGATATTGTTTTTATTATTATTAATGGGATGATTTGGCTTGTCACACGAGATGGAATGAATGGGTGAAGGAAACTCGGGATATATGTTAGATTTTTGTCATTTATCAGAATTCAGGACTTTAGGGAATGAGAAAAGCTTCATAGAATTTAGTGCAATAAATTTCAAATAATGTATCAGGAATTTCCGCATGTATCCATTTTTTCGGGGAAAAGTTCTTAGTAAATAACTCACCGTAATTAAGTACGAAATTAGTTGAAGCAAATAAATAAAGACCCTAAAAAATGACATTTACAAAAACTAACTCCTGTTTTACCCAAGTGTGTGTTCTAGGTGGCAACAAGATTGCAAAATAATGAATCATTCTTACCGCTGCACAAGATCTGCCACGATATAAATTCATGATTTTTACTCCATAATTTACAAGAGGAAAATTGTTTGTGGTGCAAACAATTGTGATGTTTCTGGATCGCGGGACTAGATCACTTCAAGCCTCGGTTCAACGGTTGAACGCGCCGACAGTAGGAGTTGGCGGTAACGCCCATCGCTTGTACGAACATCTGGACAAGCGCGAGACTAGCGTCTAGCAGGAACATATGCGCTACATTATAACGTGGGAGTAGAATGCGGCAAAACGGCCACCTCGTGAATTCTAAAATGAAAAATGATCAAATTCGCTGCATACCTGTGGCCCAACAACAACGAATTCAACAAGAAATGATGAGAAGTTGACCACAAGATTCCATTCAACTTGTATTCGAATAAAGATGTATATAGGTACATAGCATCATGAACACTTGAGCTCATGTCATATACTATTAAGCAGCCACGACCAGTCAAGAATGGAGATGGGATTTAATTCCATTTCAGCGCACAATAATCTAGGAAAAGATTTTAAAACGGCGATAAATCTGATGGGTTTTGGCCTTGAAGAATTAAGATGGCGTTAATTGCAGCCTCGAAAGTTAGGAGCAGCGATCACGATTTCGTGACGCGAAAGCCAAACGCTTCTACAGCCCCGACCATCAATCAACCAACGACCATCGAAACTCGCAGCAAAATTGCGGGAAATTCGATTTTGGCATGAACGATATGAAATACCGAAGAACGAAGACCATGGCAGAGTCAGTTCGCAAGTCAATTCCTTGACTTTTCTGTCAAAATATACAGAGGACCGGAATTTCGATGATCCAGATTACTCCTAAATCAATGTGAGATCGACCCGCGTTAGTGCTGCTTCAACTGCTATTAATGTACAACTCTTGTCAATTATTGCACTCGTAATTAGATAACTGAAATGATCAGTGCTCCACAAACGTAAGTTTAACATTCATTACAGGTTCTTCTTATCAGTGAAAACTGAAAAGTCCACAATATTCATAAATGAAGCGCGAGCCTGAACCAGCTTTTTTGCTGAGGTCTTGGCGAGAGAGTTAGTACCCATGTTACATTCTGATTACCAATGCGGAATGAGGCTTCAAACGCATCAGACGATTGTGCAATGTTGACAAGGCCATGGTCTACGCATCAGACTATGTCCCATCTGACATATATACTATAAGTAATTCACTCAAGGCTACAGCCAGATTGCTATGCAAACATGGATAGAATATCGAACATGTTATAAACGGGCATCCTTCAATGTACGGATAAAATTATCCACTAAAATAGTTTTTCCGATATTCGCCGTTAATAAATACTCTGTAGTGAATGATAATTAATTTAATTTGTAAAGTAAAAAAAATTTTTGTCATCTTCTATTAATGAATAAATAGTGAATGAATGAATATTTTCAAGTACCGGTATGCAACACGCCACAGTGGAGATACAAGGAAAATGTTCCGGTGGTCTATTGTCCCCAAACAAACCCAATGATGGTGCTTGTACTTCATTTAATAAAAATTACATCGTGAATCAGCGAGTAAATGGTCCGTATAAAATTATGCAAAATGCAATTATCAAGCGGGACCCTAACGAGATTCGTCAGAAGGTGTAGTTGTCTAATGATAGAAGGCAAACGGTCGAATTAGAGCAGCGGAGCACGTCAAATTCTCATACACAAACTTTTAAATAACTTTTACATAAAAAAATAGATAGTATTACTTACTATAAGCATAACATTTTCGTTACAGAAATATAGTATAGTAGCGCTGGAGTTTGGCATGTCGTTGCTGCTTCTTGTAAAGTTCTAGAGACGATGTGCAAAACTTTTTAGCTTATCCGAGTCAGGGCCTTTGTTTGCCGTCGTCGGCCGATTCATATTCCGTGAGTATGTTCTTACTCCATCAATCACTAACTTAGCTTGACACTTTTGCAAGGAATTTTGAGGGGCATGTTTCTAATGCAGGCAAATTACGGTAGTTCTGAATAAAGTAGGTAATATTGAACATAGGTAATATTGAACATGTATTATGCATAGATGTTAAGAATGCGAAGAATGCGGCGCCGTTGTTGCGAGACCGTGGGAAAGGTTGTTTACATTGAAACGTTGGCGCTCAGCGTTGCGAGGGACATTCCATTCGAAGGAATGTAGCGTCTCCCGAGGGCTAGGCTTAAGTGTGCGCGACTCTAGCGTATATAAGGACCTCAGATTTCGCGCCAGTGGTTGTTGGTTCTACGGCGGAGACCGTCACGCACGTAACGGCTGCGGCCGTGAGGCCGCGGTGTTACCGTTTTCAAACATTGACGGTCGCGACTTGCGAAGAACCTTTTCATCGTGCCAATTATCAAGTGCCACTCGGCAACCACCTGACAAAACGATAAGTAATGAATACCGGTATCTTGAACCTGAACCTGAACGTAACGTAAATTTGGTGGAGTAATCACTCCGATTCACCCAACTTTAAAAGATATGAGACGATAGGAAACGTCTCTCTTTCTATATATAATTTTCTTTAAAATCCCTATTTAATCAGTTCTTCCCAACAGTACGCTAAGAAGCATGAGGAGGTAAATAGACGAGTTAATTTAACATTTTTATTTTTTGGTTTACATCCATTTAGTGCGTGTACACTCGCTCGTTCACGTAGGGCAGCACGATTCTTAGACTTGTTTGCGAATAGTGAGCGATACATGACCTTCCGAGAAGAGATGCGTAAGCCTGCTATATTCGACACAATCAAATACAAGCAACGTTGGGTTACAGTACTTGTTATAAACATAAGTCACGCAGAATGCAAGATACTTTTAAAACTTCTGTACATAAAATTTCAGAATCACGGAACTATGAGATTCCATACGGTCGATGTGAGATATTTTGCGGAAGCGGCTTGGCTTTAGGGCTTAGATTAGTTCTCTATGTGCACTTACGAAGGCTCTCCAGTGACTAACTTGATCAATTAACGAAGAGATAGAAGCTGCGCTAGCGGGCAGTCACAAACTGGCTTGCTTTTCGATCTCAGTGCATGGGTCGCGCATAACATTTTACTAGCAATGACAGGAGTTAATTTTTCTTGTCCGTTCAAGTTACAGTGTTCAACCAAATGTTGCTGACTAAATGTTGATAGAAGCTGACTTCTCGTGTCCATTAAAGTTACAATGTGAGTCTAAAATGCAATTGTCAATCGGAAGAGCGCGGACTTTCCTCGTTTCGTTAATGTTACAGACTTACAGGGCGTTTAAATGTTGTTGTTGACTTGACTGGAGCTGACCTTTCATGTCCATTTAAGTTACAATAAGAATTCTATTACGATTACCCTGACGGGAGAGTACATCCCATGACAATTGCAGTGATACATGAACAATTGATTTGCGGTTTCATTGTTGGTGCGCCACCTCAGTGAGAAGGAGCATAGCGCATTCAGAAGCTGTCAGTGCGTCAGCAAGTTCATTTCGTGTGTTGTGATAGGAATGTCAATGAGTCGTGAATTTTTAAATTAAAATTAGTATATAATAACATTTGTGAAAATTTTGTTTTTAAATGCTGTGTTAAAGTTAAGCGAGGTGCCATTAAAGAGACACACTAACAAAGTAAAGCATATGAACTCATATCTATACTTGGAACGTATCTTTTTATAACCCTTGTTGATTTTATTGGTGGTTCATGCACGGTACACGGCCTAGGTCAAGGCGACGACGAGTAAGTAATAAGTACAAGCCTACAAGGCAACTAACTGGCTAAGAAAGGATGACGTCGAAAATGTTCATGCGATTGATTACAGATAATTTAGCGGTGAAAATCAAACTATGATTATAAATTAACATATTTAAACTTATAATATTCCTTGGATTTGAATACAAAAAAAAAAAAAACACGTCAAAATATCTCCAGCATAATGCGAGACGACCTGTAGAAGATGTTACATATTTTGCAATTTTACCTCGAGTTTTAGATGGCTGGGCGAATTGCAGAAGCCAATCCATCATCAGCCGGATAGAAAAATTTCATCCCTTGCGAAGACTCGGAGGTATTTTACAGAACGTACAGTATTTCTGCTATAGACTGCCGAGACCCAAACGTTCGCACATTGATAAGTCACACAATCATGGCTTCATGTTACATTCTATCACACCCAAATCAGAAATATTGACGAAGAAAATATAATGTACAGAAACTGAAACCACAACAGAAATAAAACGGATGGTCATCAACTGACAACTCGCGCCATTGTTATTGTAGCCTTTGAGTAAAAAGATGCATGAAAGCTGGCTACCTACTCCGTCCCTAAGAAAAGTCTGAAACTATAACGTCACTAGAATTCATATGGCAATTAAGTTCATAAATGTGAAATTATATCTTCGTTTTATAGCAGACAACTGTATGATGATACAGACATGCACAGAAATTAAATTGCACGCGAAAATGGTCAGCGTAGGCTAACTTGAAGCCAGAGGCTTGCACACTGCACAGCTGATCACATCAAAATACACACAATTTTCAAATTTATTAAAACATAACATCAAAACTATCGAATAACTCAATAACGACATCGCAGTCAACACATTTCTGGTTTCTATAAGCGGCAATAATTTCTAATCACTATGCGTTCATTAAAACTTGACTAGAAACTTGATCAATTGAAGGCATGCCTAACGCACACCTACATACAACACGACGGCTGGTCGCACACTGAAAACTGAAGTTTACTGAACCGCGTTGGGTGATGGTGAGTTCGGTCAGAAGCTGGAGGCGGGACTCGTCTCAGCAAGGGCTTGGTTTTGTCACTGGAAACGTTTGCCCTTACAACCTAACTTAAGATTCGGCACAAGGAATAAACGATTGAAAACATTTTAAATACAGAACGAAACTTAACTATCGTATATAGCTTCAAGGTCAAATGAATCCTGTTTCGCCAACACACGTCGCAATGTGACATTCCCAGTCAAGGTGCAGTCAAAATCTCGGGAACCGATGAGGTCACATCCCAGCAACCTAAGATATGCGCATCTGTTGCTTTACCTTACCGCAACCAACTGTTGCGGTGTACGACGTAGGTATTCCGGTCCAAATGGCGGAATAACTCTTCTTATGTCAAGTCGAAGTGGAAAGAAATAACACTTCATATCATAACAATCGGAAAATTTTCGTGCCATTAATTAAAGGGAAAGAAAACTTCGTGATCAATGCGACAATATATTCATCTTGTATTATGTCTGGAATGAGAGGACATAATTCAACAGGGAGATGGAACACGTAAAACTATTCAGCGTAATTTTAATTGCATCGGAATTGGAAGAGAAAACTAATTTAACGTCGCCATTAGTTTGAATTCAGTGGAAGAGCAACCATATTAGACGAAATCTCTCTTCAGTCTCTCTAGCGGTAACGCACGAGTCAAGATTTCCTTCATTTGAAAATATCACTAGCGATGAAGAGAACTTATAAACACTTCCTATACTAAATGGGAAGAACATCAAGATGTTACGAAACACGAGCGAAAAAACTTCATAACAATTAGAGAACGCAGAGAAATTATTTGGTAACAGGCAACAATGTTTTCCTCACGGAAAAGAGGCATGAATAAAATATCCTAATAAAGTTTTTCGCTCCATAAAAGAAATGCAATGAAAGTCAAACGTATCGACAGCACACGAATAAATATTAAGATGCAGCAAGAATGATAAAGAAAATCTAATAAATAATACATTACATGTGCCTGAAGTCGCGCATATACGAGACATGCCAATAATAAGTAAATTTTCGCATTATACAAAATGCCCAAGAAAAATCAAAGCCCAGGTAAAGAAATGCCAAATTGCGATCATAGGCACTGCAATATATAAAAATAAAACCCCAAAAAATTCGATTCCATAACTCTTTTCGTTTTTTCATGATATTGGCCACATTGAACTGTTGCACTGGGTAGTTACGTTATACGGAGAGAAAACTGCTAAATCAGCGGATATTAGATTCAGTTACACATGAACAAACTGCATCAACAGTTTACCTCGTAGCAAGTTTCCTTGCTAATGCATAGCTGCGAGAATTTAATTGCTTAACTTCTAACGTATTTTACAGACTTCCTGGCTAACACATGAGTATTTCTTCAATCAAATCCTTTTACTGCACCGCCTTCCTATTCTAATGGCGGCAACGATGGCTATATGAAACTTAAATTTGGCGGTTGTAATTTGCAACATAGAACAAGTGGCACACTGTTCAGCTCTCGTCACTTAATATAAGCCGTCCACGCGTCATTTATATTGCACGATAAAATCGCGACGGTGTGCTAGCGATAGTGGCACACCGATCGCAGCACGGCTCTCGTACGCCAGTACGCTAGCGGTGCGCCGCCTAAATTTGAGGAATTCCACAGGACACTTTATAACGTAACAAACTAAAGAAATTTTAGCATTAGCAGCAACTGGCACAAAATATGTTGAGCAATCAAATCCCTCAGTCAGATGAATAATAACCAAATAATTAAGTTTAGATTCTAAATACAAATTTACATCAATTATAACAGAATTGAATCCAACAAAGCAATAAATCGACTGCGTGAAATGTTTTTTTAATGAGGTATCTGAAATATAATCAAGTTTACGGAATATTATTCGAGACTGAAGAGAAATGACGAGTAGGGTTTCCCTAACGCAATACATTATTAAACTAATTAAAACGTTGTAAAGAATTTATTTATCCCTCCTTACCGCTGAGTTACCGAACAGTTATTGAATTTATCTATAATACATTTGGGCATCTTAAATCGATCGGTTTCTCAGTTTTCAGGCTATACAGGGCAAATGCGTATCGCGGACGCGTTACCCAGAACGCACAATCGCCGTGAGGATATTAGATTTAAGATTCACTAGAGGTTCGTGTAGGGGAATCCAGTGGGCCTAGACTGGGGAGGAGGGACAGGAGGAGGTTGCCCCGGGGGAAATGGCTGCATGCAGGCGGAGTAGAGCGGCTGTTGCGTCTGTAGGTTAAGCGGCAGCTGCACGTGGCTATACGACGAGTAAATGGCGCCTGGGCTGAGCGACGTGGCCACCATGGACGGGTGGCCACCGGACATTGGGGTGACGATAGGATGCGGAGCAGGAGGTATAGAGTTCGGTGGGTTGCTGGTGGGGGTTATGGGGGTGAGAGAAGCAGACACGGGAGGGGTTGTATCACGGGGATCAGAGGTGTTCACCACCACAAGGCTGGTGGTGGACGTACCCACAACAGTGTCTTGACGCGGCTGCTGTTGGGGCGGGTGATTTTGCAATAAAATTTGATTGTTGCTATTGTTACCATTTGCTTGGGGTACGTCCATTCTCTGTTGTTGTTGTTGCTGCTGCTGTTGTTGTTGCTGTTGTTGTTGCTGCTGCTGCTGCTGCTGTTGTTGATGTTGTTGTTGCTGTTGTTGCTGCTGCTGTCGTTCGGTGTTGTGTGCGCCGGACTGCGGAGGCTGTACCGTATCATCGTCATCATCGTCGCTCTGCATGCCATTACGATCGACTTTCTTGTCCATGCGGAAGAACTTGACGTTAGGAAACTGTTCCTTCATGAAATGGCGGAACGACGAATATCCCATTACTTTCACGTCGGGCTCGAAGTGCTCACAATATTCACGATATGCGTTATGGATTTTTTTACGGGTGATTTCGACAGGCAGGTACACAGGAGGAGCTTTGCCAGACTTGTTCGTCTTCTTGGAGTTGGAGGTGACGGGCGAGTAACGAGTGATGTAAGACTGGAGGAAAGCGGCCGCGTGCTGGTAGGTGTCCAGAGGGAAAGTATTAGGAGGCTTCTTACCATGATTACCGTGTACACGAGGCGTTACTCCGTTGACCATGACGTGCTTTCTGATGGCCTTCAGTTGATAATGGGTGCAATTTTCTAGGTAGAGAAAGGCGTCAAGGCAGATTTTTTTGCCTTGAAATACATACGATGCTCGTAACCGTTTCCTCTCTTTGTGTCGAGAAGTTTCCTCTGGGTTAGCTAAGCATGCCATTGTAACGCCCATGAGGTACATATCGTGTTCGTTCTTGGTGAGCTCAGCGATATTCAAGCGATGTCTGAACACAAACTCCGGGTTCATGTTTTTAAAGCAGTTGTCGCCGTCACACTCGCAGCCTTTGTCGAAGCGTTCCTTCACTTGGTGGCTATTTTCTTCCAGCTTTGTAGGGTCTATTCCTTCAGCCAAAAGATCTGCGAGCTTACGTTTCTTTTTCACTTCCTTCTTGATCTTTGGTTTTGTGTCCTGTTCGTCCTCGGTGATGTCGTGGGTATTAAGAGTGGACTCCATCTCTGACGACTGCAGGTCGACCACTAACGAATCTCCTGCCGGTCAGAATTTCATCTCAATTTGAAATAACTCGAGCACAAATTTATCTAGCAACGCTTATAAATACAATATTGTCAACATGAAGCCTTAGTTTGATCATACTATATAATTCATTTCAATGAGAAAAAGTAAACAAGCGGCATCCATACAAAAATATGCAATTTCGCTATATTAATAAATGAAAATACAAGTAAAAGCTCGAAATTTTTTATAAGAAATTCAAACGGCCCCTAATTCAGCCCCTAATCTTCGTACTTACCCATGTCCGTGCTGGACCACATGCTTGGGTCTATTGCGGCAGGCTGTAGGGTGACCAGCTGAGCAGACCCCAGACTCGTAAGCTCTGCAGACGATGTCTGTTGCTGTTGTTGTATCATCCTTTGTTGCTGCATCTGCTGGTGCTGGTGAGGACCCACAGTTTGTGTCTGCTGGTTCGCGAGGTGCTGTTGAGGCTGCTGGGAACGGTTCTGCTGCAGGAGGTTCTGACCTGACTGGCCGCAAGGTTCTGTTTGGGTCACGGATGTTGTCCCGGGGTTCTAATATACAAGGGGAAAGAATGTTACTATTTTATATGCTTAACGAAAAAAAAATCTTATTAGCTAAAGTTATAAGAAACAAAAACATATTCATGACAGAAGTAATGAACCAATCTTATATAGATGTCATCAGCTTGAGTTATATTTTCAAAGCAAACGTCAGCTAAAATTCCAGCGCAATTAAAATTTAAAATACCTCGCCAATCAATGCTAGAACAGAAGAAAATGAACGAGAATAAATTCCTGAGAATTCAACAGACACACGACACCACGACCACTGATATATGGTATATGACATATGATATATGGTTTATGGTAGGTATATTATATATGGTATATGGTACGTCGCTGACCTGCACATAGTGGTTGTGTTGTGGGAGGCTCTGCCACTGGTGGTTGACAGATGACGTCATCAGGACGGTCTGGGTGCCGGTTGACAGATTTTGAGGTTCATTTTGTTGCTGCTGTTGCTGTTGAGGCAAGGACTGTTTGTGCTGAAGTTGTCGCTGTTGTTGTTGTTGTTGTTGTTTGAGTTGTGCCTGCCTTTGTTGTTGTTGAGCGGATTGCCTTTGAGGTCGTTGCTGTTGTTTTTGTTGCACCGTTTGCTGTTGCTGCTGAATTTGTTTTTGTTGTTGTGGCTGTTGTTGTTGTTGCAGCGATTGTTCTTGCTGCTGCTGGGCTTGCTGTGAAGACTGTTGTTGTTGAGTCACTTGAATTTGTTGGAGCTGCGATATAGGTAAATATTGACGATACAAACTTTCATTTGAGAATATAACATATCAAAACACGATGTAATAAGGTCAGAGTCAATAAAACAAAGAAGTTACATACAGTAGTAACCAAATCACAATTCTAGTTTTGAAATCACCCTGTAAATCACAGACGAGGAACCTACTTCAGTATGATCATTTCAATTCCGTTATAGTTGTAAAAAGGCATCAGGAGCACATCATCACAAAAGCCATCAATTTATCTGTCTTACGTACTCCGTTTAGGAATTGCAAGTTTCGTACATAGGAACCGCATGTAATCGATCGAAATCACACTTGATCGACAGGAAAATACTGAAAAAAATTTAAGTTATTTTAACAATTGTCAATAAATTATTATATTATAATATAAACATAATAAAAACGTTCACCTGTTGGGCAGGCTGCAGGACGCTGTAGGTAGGCATTGTCGACGATGATGACGCAGCAGAATCAGAAGGCTCCATCACACTTCGTACGAATAACGCGACATTAAATAATGTCAATAAGTCCAAAGAACCGAGTAACAAAGATATAAATTGACATGTCGCTCAGGCACACGAGAAATTAAATGTTAACATAAACATAGATTTAAATATCTGAAAGAAAATATGAAAATTAAGATAATTTCGTGATGGCGGGAACACTTTCATCAAGGATAACAACATTATTACCATGATCGATGAGCTACGTTGAACGTGATAATACGTTATGAGCCTAGGTATCTGCTAGCTTTGGCATCAAACTAGATTGGTGAGTAACAAACGACTTACGATATCGATGGGATATGCTTTAAGAGATTAGATTTATAGTAAAATTACCAGTCTAACGCTTCGATCAATAATTCATCAAGTAAGGTTTACACAATAAGATCGTTGAAATAAAACTCGCATTACGCGTAGAACTTTCGAAACCTGTTGAAACTTAATAGAATGCGTCCTAGTGGTGAGAACGCTCAGTCATCTGCAGTTTAGGGATTAAAAAATTTGTAATTTTTGAGCTTCTCAGCAGTTGGAAAGAAAAGCCTGCCACTACGAGAAAAACAAGTGATGCAGGAATTTATGAGATGGCTTTAGAGCCATCACAACGAACGAATTAAGCCATCACAACGAACGAATTAAGCCATAACAAGGAACGAATTAAGCCATCACAACGAACGATTAAGCCATCACAACGAAAGAATTAAGCTATCACAACGAACAAATTAAGCCATCACAACGAACGAATTAAGCCATAACAAGGAACGAATTAAGCCATTACAAGGAACGAATTAAGCCATACCAACGAACGAATTAAGCCATACCAACGAACGAATTAAGCCACAACAACGTACGAGTTAAGCCATCACAACAAACGAATTAAGCCATAACAACGAACGAATTAAGCCATAACAACGAACGATTAAGCCATCACAACAAACGAATTAAGCCATACCAACGAACGAATTAAGCCATACCAACGAACGAATTAAGCCACAACAACGTACGAATTAAGCCATCACAACAAACGAATTAACCCATAACAACGAACGAATTGAGCCATCACAACGAACGATTAAGCCATCACAACGAAAGAATTAAGCTATCACAACGAACGAATAAAGCTTTCACAACGAACGAACTAAGCCATCACAACGAACGAATTAAGCCATAACAAGGAACGAATTAAGCCATACCAACGAACGAATTTAGCCATAACAACGAACGAATTAAGCCACCACAACAAACGAATTATGCCACCACAACAAACGAATCTAAAAGCCACCATAACAAACGAATTAAGCTATCACAACGAACGAATTAAGCTATCACAGCGAAAGAATTATGCCATCACAACAAACGAACTAAGCCACCACATTGTGACCACAACAAATGAAGGTATTATTGCAGATTAACTACATCCAAAAAAAAGGGTGTTTTTTTTTTTAATTATATGTTTTTTGGGGTGTAGATTACGAATCTGAAATCCATTTTTGGCGGTCGGCATCGGAAAACCGATTTTTTAACCGCCAAAAATGGATTTCAGATTCGTAATCTACACCCCAAAAAACATATAATTAAAAAAAAAACACCCTTTTTTTTGGATGTAGTTAATCTGCAATAATACCCAAATGAACATTAAAGCCACCACAACGAACGAACTAAGCCATCAAAACGAACGAATCAAGCCATCACAAAAGAAATAATTAACATTAAACCATCAAAACTAATCGAAACCAATCGGTCGATTACAAATCCTTGTCACTCCAACAAAAAAAAAATTTATCCATCAAGAAAAATTTGTACCTTAAACATTAATTCCGCGACTTTCGTTATAAATTCGTGTATATCACAAGAGATTTGTGACATTGTGTCCATGAAAACGATGCATCTGTCACCTTAGTTAGTGATGAGAGAATAAAGTTTGTCTGCAGTTCACTTGGCGATAGTTCACATGGAAACAGGTAAAGAGAACAGTGCTGGGTAAGAGAGTGTCCGAGATAATGCAAGTGTTCAAATCTCATAAATCTCAAGTGTTCAACGCTCTTACCTCTAAAGTACTGCACACGTATTCTTCATTTCTAGTGTTGTAACTATAAGTATAAGTCAGATTATTCGACATAGGGCGGTATGTAGATAAGTAATTACAACTTACAAGTAACGCTAAAATTCCGATAAGTATCAACTATGCCCAGAAATTCTTGAAGATTTTCCAAGACGAATCATATAATGAAGGAAAAATTTTAAACTTTTTTTAGTATTTAAGTGTTTAAATGATAGAATTCGGGTCTACGCGCATCCGCTATATAGTTTTAATAAAAGTCATCACAAAGCATGAGTTAGGTATAATCAACAACGAAACATCATCGATTTAAAAAAAATCGAACTGATACGTCAAAACAAACATGCGGACCTCCTAAAAATAAATTATATTATAATAATCCTTCTGAACGAGTTCTGCCGCAGAGAGCTTGCAATAGTACTATTACTAATGCAAAAAAAGTGAGATGGGAGATGCTAAAAAAAATGGCTTGAGATGACAAGTTTTTTCACAAATTCACAGGCCACACGTTCACGTTGCGTTTTTCTCGCATTATTGACGTTTTCCAAAAAATATTTACACAAACATACACTGTAGTTTGTACGTAGAATAGTTGAAAAAAAAATCAAATAACCACGAAATTGCAGTAATCGAATTCAAAAAAACGTAATTAGCTCAGTACTCGTGTGAAGGAAAGCAGCACGGATGACAACAACTAATAGAAAACGTTGTAGGTAAGTTTATAATTTGAGCGTTAGGCACTGGCTGAAGCTTAGACGCCAACACTGAGGCGAGATTCGTGTGCCTCGTAATGGCAGTGGATTCTGCTCTCTAGCGCATCTCGACTTTTTAAACATTGAAACACAGCTTTGCTACTAATTTTAAGGCAATCGAAACATAAGACTAACCAGGAATTAATAATAGCACTTCATAAAGTCAATTCAGATAGTAAATACACCGTTCAAATAACACTAAATTTAGATTTAAAACCAGAGTAGGATTTTGCTCGCCCTTAGCGCTGAACAAAGAGGCGAAAATGGCGTTCCCTGAGAGTGAGGCTAGTCCATTCGCGCTTTGGGGGAAGAACCTTTGGTGTACCGGGAATATAAGCTTTCAATTGGTCATTTAATCAGGAAATTATGTTGGTAGAAATCATAGTAGAGAACAATTAAGCTTTTTTTACTACAGTTTTGACTCGATTAAGCAGAATTAGGATGAAAACACAAGTTTGTTTATAAAAATGTCTACCACAAAAATACAAAGAAAATTTTCGTATATTTCACAGAAAATTCGCCTCTATAATCGATGGATCTTAGCGGGCGTGTCCAAAGAAAATTGTGGGCTGCCGTTTTCTCAATGAATCGCGTTCATTATGTTTGACAAGTAAATAAGGTACTGGATTTGAGGCCGCAATCATGGTTTAAACACGTCAAGAATTTCTAAGCTTGAATTATATTGCAATCGCATGCGTAAATCGACTGGCAGTTGCGTGATTGTTCAATTTCGTGAATTTATATAGTGATTTCTATCAATCTGTCATTCAATACTTATGATGTCATTTATTAGTAAGCATTTCTTATATTATGCAAATCGTTAGTAAATATGTTTTAATGTAGAGTAGTTGACTGTCAATACATGATAATAATTATTCGAATGCTCGCACCTGAGTCGCACCTAAGCTCTACATAGAGGATGGAACTTGCTCAAGATAGAACAAACACTAACGTCTAACATGAAATTAAACTCGAACATTGTACAGGTCTGCATATCCAAAATATGAAACCCTCAATATAAAATCGAAGTACAACTTACGATCACCGTGTAAAGAGTACACGAAGACATATCAGTGCTCAAGGGGATTGGAAGATCTGCCATAGTTGTAAATTTCGCATAAAATTTTTGAACTGGAAGGTTCAGTTTGAATTTTGCATCACAATTGCTAGGCAATTATGGAATCTTGCGCGGTTATTTTGTAGCTATAATTAAATTTTACGTACTGCTTATCAATTGATTTGCGACATCGTAAGTATTTATGATCCGTTGATGCGAATTTTCTATTTTTTTCTCATTTGAAAAATTTATCGCACGCGCAGGCTCAGCATGCACCACTGGCCCAGTTTATAGAATCAAGCTCTCCTTGGAGCGACGTTATTAAGCAACTCCTGAAATGTATGGCGCCGTGCTGGCTTCATTAAACCAGCCGCGTGGTATTTTTCCTAAATTACAAGCAGTTTACTTCTTGTCGAAGATCAGCCGTTGTTGATATGGCCTAAACTTTCAATTGGGTAGCTGAGCCGATCTCAGCAGCCGGAAAAATTTATGTTACCCTATTAGTTTAGTCAGAAAATAGTTCAAAATTC